TTCAGATATCAGATATCGGATGAAATTGAAAGTAGCACCAATTTAATCAGTTATTTTATTGGAGTTTAGCTGGTGGTGTAAACCTTTGACATTTCAAACTTAAATTATTTTATCGGACAAAATTCTAATTTTGAAATATTTGAACTCAAAGACATTGGTTTGTTAAGATATTGAGATTAGAAAATCTGAGTTTGTGACAAAGACTCAAATACTTTTTTGCAAATATTCCCTCAAAGCTTGGAGTTATTCTTCTCAGACTATGGAAGATTTCTTTATCATAAAGCTCTTTACTCATATTTATGGGAGGGGGGCTGTGCCGCCATAGCCCCCCTCCCTCTGAAAATACTTAAATATTTTAGGAAAAGAAACGTTCTGTTGATAAGATGACAAACTGTATTATTGTGTTAACAAATGTTTAACTAAACATACAGTGGGGCACGTAAAACTCTGGAAGAGGAAGACGACCGTTAGACTCAAGTTATGATTTTTAACTGGTCCATGGATACAAATCTAGATGAAAACTACATCAAAACTAGATAATAACTACATCAAAACTAGATGAAAACTACATCAAAACTAGATGAAAACTACATCAAAACTAGATGAAAACTACATCAAAACTAGATGAAAACTACATCAAAACTAGATGAAAACTACATCAGAACTAGATAAAGCTACATCAAAACTAGATGAAAGCTACATCAGAACTAAACTAGATGAAAACTACATCAAAACTAGATGAAATTACTTGATAAATAGATGATAATTTCTTAATATTCGATGAAAACTGTCCAATGATTTGATGAAAAATATTTAAAAATTAGGTAAAAAACTACTCTAAAATATCTAGATGAAATGATTATTTACATGAAAACTAATCTATAATTGTTAAATGAAAACTGTTTTATCAAAATTAGATACAATTAGTACAAATTATCTTAAATTCATACTTTAATTTAACTATGATCTGTCTAATGAATAGAAAAATATTTAGAATATTTAGAATAAGAGCAGTTCCAGCTCGATGTTGAACGCAAATTTTTCTTCACATTTTTCAAATTCCTGATCCAACATAAAATTAATCCATCCCTTCTCTCTTAAATCATGGTTTTGCACCAAATGTTTATTTCAAAATTTGAAATATTTAGTTTTAATAAAATGAGTTATCCGTGAGATTAGGAGGCAGAGAAGGAGATTCTAGAATCTTGAGATCTAATGATTCTGTTAGATTTAGAAATCCAGACTTAATGCGCAAAATTGCTTCATTCTAGGCTTAACATCTTCTTTGAGTTACCCATTGGGGGGGGGGGGGTTCATGAGAGTTTGGGCACAAAAAGATACAGGATAGAATAAAACTGCCTCCGGATGGACTAAAAACTCGGGCGGGGTAATTTATTGAAATTTTCAGATGTTTTAAAAGGTTTTCTTCAGCAGGTTTCCGGAAACTAAATGCACCGGACCTTGTAACAGGCAAAAACTAGTTCTGTGCTAAAATATTTTCTCTCTCTCGCCAGTTTAAATAAAAATCAAGCCAGCATACATTTACACTCATTTGTTCTCAATGTATTCGATTTATTCTTGCCTTTTTTACATTATGCGAATTTCTGATCAAAGACACAAGTACCAATGGATTTTTCAAAACGCAAAAATAAAATCGAAAACCGATTTTACTAATTGTTTTGAAAAATCGTTTTGATTAATATATTGACCAGGGTAAATATTCTGCACAATGGAGAAAAGTAGGTTTATATATTAACATAATTTGAAATATGATAAAACATTTAAGATTTTTTTGTAGTGAAAAACCTTACAAAGCGATGCTCATTGCTACTGATGCGCATCGTTTTGAGTTTACATCTAGAGTTTTTTTTTACTTTTGAAGTGCTCAACAAACATGTGATTATTTATCACAAAATTGAATTCTCGATAATTTAAGTTTGCTTTTATTACATTATGCGAGTTCTTTAACAAAACGATTTGTCAAAACAGAAAACGAAAAATGTTTTTAATATAATCGTTTATATCTTTGGTTAGCGTAAATATTTTGCATGAAGCAAGCCTAACTTCACTACAATCTACATACTCATTTATATCCTCATATAAATTATTTTAACACCTTACTATTTTCTTGTGGTTTTTAACAATTTTTTTTGTCGATTTTGATGGTTATTATTTCGTTAGAACTGACGAGGGTCAACCCAGACCGAAATATATTTTCAATAAATGTGGAACTAACTTCTACTTTTTTTACTCTACAGAGGTTTGGTCCATCACCATCACCGAATTTTAAACCTTACTAAACCTTTTGGCGTACTAACCCTTAAATTGAAAGATTTTAATTTTGAAGTGTATCTCACATGTTACGTGATCCTCATGAAACAAAAAAATAAATATATATATTACTGTAATCCATCACACCTAATATCTGGGTTAAAGGAGAGATTAATCTAAATATATCTGTAGAGTCGGACCCTTCCTTCTCCTACCCCTACTCAGATCAATCAAACCTATCCAACCCTCTTTTCATACTCATGCATCTTCGACACGCTGTCCTGCACTAACCCTAACCATTAAACCTACAAATTATATTCACAATTTGCAATATCATAAATATTTTTAACTAGGCCTCCGTGGCACTCCTCTAGCTACCTTTTTTCAAGTGATCATTTTTTCTTAGTAATTGAAAAACTCAAAATTTTGGGGAATTTCCTGATAACATTAATAGATATCTAAAATTTAAAAAAAACGAGGCTTTAAAGTCAAACCTGTTTACTTTTAAGCGTCCCTAAACCTTCCCTGGGGTCATGTTAATTGTCACATAAAAATGTGGGCCCAATCGGTTCAGTCGTTTTTCATCGGATCCAGACAGAAAAGCCAAATTTATAATTAGATGGAAAGGGATTGTTAATGAGAAGCATAAACGACTACCGACGTACGCATTTGGAGTAATCTAAAAAAGGGATTCAAATGTTAAATTGGACATTTTCATTTTAGACTGTGATATAGAGATACAATACAACTACCTTTATACGAAATTAAGGAAATTACGATGTGTAAATTAAAATCACATAACTGCATTTATGTCGTCTTCTAGTTTGCAGTTTTATTGACCCAGCTGTATGTATCCCTGTGACCGATATTTTGATGAAAAACAAACCTATTTAATAAGAAATTACAACTTATCCCCAGACAAATTACTCTTCAGAAATTGTAAAAAAAATGCTTCAACGAGATTTATTTGGAATAGGAGGACGACATTTTAGCAATTAAATGTTGATACATGCAGAGTGAGTCAAAAAAAAGTGTGACTAACGGCGCTTGATGCAAAATTGTACCTTTTTTGTGTAACTCTCCTGTATGGTGTTTTATCGATATTTTTGGAAATTTTTTTTTATTTTTTTGCTACTCCTGTGGCCAAAAAATCCTCGAACCTTCATGTCCCACAATATAATGCATCTCACTATACATTTGAATAAACGTAAATGTAACTCTCTTAAATACCCGGAGAAGAAATTCAATAAAAGGAATTAGGCCAATCAATAAGTTTTCCTCAAGTAAAATCCCAGTAATCCTTTCTTCCTTAGCCTCCAGATTTATTTCAATCTAGATTGCATTTCTTTAACATTTTATATTTAAACCTTACTTCAACATCAATCCACAATTTTGTTAGACTTTTTTGAAAACTTTTTCTTTTATCTTAAACACAGTAGATATATAATTTTAAAGGACCTTCACAAATAGTGTTGCATGTCCCATTCACAAAGGTGCCCTTCTAATGAAGAGTTTTTCGTTATTATATTTGAATTTGACTTGCGGAATTATGCTGCAGACAAAGAAGAAATTATAATAAATCGACTAGTTTCAGGCTAACGTAACAACGATATCTTTGTCATTTTATCCAAACTAGGCTTTTAGGCTTCTATTTCCATTGTGAAAATGTTCCCTTTGTATAAAAAGTAAAAATCAAAACGAAAAATTTGCGGCTTTTATTAAAATTTCACGGATTTTCGAAATTTTGAAAAATCGAATTTTGTTCGAGGCAAATTATTGAAAATTCGATCATCCATAGACCTTCCCTCGGGTAACCTCGGTAACCCGAGGTACTACAGAAAACTTGGGTCCCATGGGTTAAATCATTTTGACGTTTATTGGATAGAAACAAACGAACACCCAGACAGACAAGATAGAATTAAATGGTATTGTTGAGAATCAGACATTGCTATTCATTAAAATGTATAAGAAGGCGCAATTGAAATCCTTGATTAACGTCTACATTCCTATTAAACTGCAATGAAATAATTACAGGAATATCTGGAAATGAGCCCGAATAGATCTCATACTAACATCTTTGAATACTCATTCTATATATCTTGAGAATTTTGATCGGCAGAAATGTCTATCGCGTTTTATATATCATGAAAAAAATATTTAATATCATTGAACATTTTGGAATCACACAACTATGCATACGTTTAATATAACTTAGCACAAATTTTCACGATTGGATGGGACAAAATACATACACCATAAAATATTCTGAATAAAACTAGAACTCCGGGGTTCGAGAATTAAACAAAAAATTAAAAGTTTTCTGCCACTAGGATAAAATAAAAAAATTGTGTAAAAATTAAGATGCCGAAAATGCAAGGTTCGTTTAATATGACAAGCTCTATTATTTGAGGATTGACAGAAAAGAATGGGACTTGACACCCAACTTTATATACAATTTCGGGAACTAACAATTGATCAAATTATTTCCAACAGCAGCAGTCCGCATATTTTAGAAAAAACCTCCGTACCTTTGAATTCAGTCATGAAGATATGAATACAAACTTTCTAATTAATTGTTCTTTGATAAAAGTTTCAATAAGTCAACTCAACGTGATGAGAAAGCGCAGAAGTAATTACTTTTAATCAACCGTAAATAAAAAAAATACTCAAGAAGTCGGCTGAGACTCCTCCAGTCCAGAAACAGTATAATTTTTTTTTGAAAAAAATGGTTGACAAAACATTTATTCCTCTGAATATATTTACAAATGCGCGAAAGGTTAGTCTCTGATTTACAAAAAAATGATAAGAAGGAGTTGATTAGAAACTTGCGCCATGTTCATTGTTCATGTATGTACGATACACGTGGACAATAGTTTAAATTTTTAGTTTATTGTTCTCTTCGGTTCAACGTCTCCCTCTGGATCCTCCGGCTCTAAAGGACCCTCTGGAGCCTCCCCTGGGTGAGTATGAACTACCTCCTCCCCTGGAGTATGAACTGCCTCCACCTCCTCGTGAAAGCGATCCTCTGCTGCCTCCTCGACTTGAGGAGTTGAATTTGTTAGTTACGGAATATCCACCTGAGCTTCCACCTCCGAAACTCTGAAAAATATAAAGTTTAGAGGATTTCCATAAATCCTAAATAGTGCTTGTAGTATTACAGCTAAAAATTAATCGAATGAGGTTTAATCTAATAGTTTCATTTTAAGCTATTCAAAAAATACAGTTTTAAAGAAATAAAATCTTTACCTGCGAGTTTCTATTTTGAGAAAATGAACTGCCCATGCCTCCTCCCATTCCACCTCCTAATCTTGATGCCATGCTTCCCATACCACTGCTCATTCCCATGCCACTCATACCTCCTCCCATGCCACCCATTCCTCCTCCCATGCCACTCATTCCACCTCCCATACCGCCCATGCCGCCTCCCATTACACCCATGCCACCTCCCATACCGCCCATGCCACCTCCCATACCACCCATACCTCCTCCCATACCACCCATACCTCCTCCCATACCACCCATACCCATTGAATTCATTCCACCTCCCATTCCCATACCATTCATTCCTCCTCCCATACCGTTCATCCCACCTCCCATACTGTTCATTCCTCCTCCAATACCATTCATTCCCATGCCGTTCATACCTCCTCCCATACCATTCATTCCGCCTCCCATATTATTCATAGCCATCATGGGATTAACAGCGTTTGTTCCCTGGTTCCAGGTTCCCCAGCCCTGGGGTCCTTGGTTCTTATTTGCCCAGGGGGAGGGACCCATCCCATTCCTCATGTTTCCTCTGGATCCTGGATAAGGTGCTCCTCGCATTCCTCTACCACCCCTGAAAGGTGGTCCTCCACGACCACGGAAGCCAGCTCCACGCCTAAATATTATAATTATTGAAAACCGAATTCATGAGTTAGTCCATAAATTGGGAATGCTTTAGTTGGACCTTAGGTTTTTTATAATATTTGTTGATAACATCGAGTCAATGATTTAAGATTTCTTGCTCTATTAAAACTCCAATAAAAATGTAAAGACACAACGTTTTGATTTAATCTGAAGCTTAATGGTTGTCACTTAATCCAGAGATGTAACCAACGCTATTTTACCAATAAAGTGTGTGTGTAAGTACATCCCTAGAATGTATCTTGTATCCAGGCCTGATAGTTTTCATGGCTAAATGAGCTTCTGCATAAATTTCTACTGCGCCCAAGTTTAGTGCAACTTAGTTACAAATGTTGCAGAAGTAATACTAGAAGGTGTGTATCCGCATTACAGACGGAATAGAATACATAATTTTCTCAGTTCGAGTCGAGTAATTAATGACTGCAATTATACAAAAACATAAAAATATTTGAAAAAAACCTTTATTCAATCTGACAGAAACTTATTGCCATGAAAGACATAATTGCTTGATTACTTTTAGGCGAAATTAAAATCTTATTTTTAAGTTTGAATCAGAGAAAAGTTTGAATTATTTATTGAGAAAGAAGATCAAGTTCAGGAATTATTTATGGAAGAAAAACAACCCTGGAAATCGGTTCAAGGTTTAAAACAAATCCGTCATTGATTTGATAAAAATATATATTTTCTTGTATAAAGTGTTGTGAGCAAAACAATAAAATGTTAAGTGTAACACAAAACCAGTTTATACCTAGCTCGTAAACAATAAATCTATTTATAACCTTACTTCACTCAACTCGTATTTTTCGCACTGTACTGGACGTTCAAGATTAACGGATTCAAGACAGAAGAACCAAACAAAATTGCCAATATTTTTTGGAGAAATTAATTAAATATTTATAAGATAAACCCGGATTTTTGAAAATCTGGGAGAGAAAAATTAAAGTTCTACCTGAAAAGGATTTTTTCATTTTGGTAATATTTGGCAACATTTTAACAGATTTTGATTTTACGCAGACAAAAATCTTGCGGATTAAGCGGATCCGGATCCTTTGAACCGCAAGTAAAATAATACTTACGGATTAAAGTTTCCTCTGAATGATCCTCTTGGAGTGGAACCTCCTCTTGAGAGTCTAGGCTTCTTGAAGCTCCTTCTTTCACCTTCAGATTTACCATAGCCTTTCTCTTTGGCGACCTAGAATTAGTAGACATTAATAGAACATTAGGGTTTTCACTAATGTCTAAAATGTGAACGCTTTTAAAGGGACGTTCACTTATTTGGGTAATTTCAGGGTTAACTAAACAGCCTATTCGCTGTTGATTGGTAATAGTCTTACTTTTCAAAGACAACTGTGGCCGGAGAAAAAGCCGATTTTTCGTTCAGAATTTGAGCGGAAAGGGACGTCAGACGTATGTCAGCTTTCCTGTCTTCAAGACGATCAGCTGCAGTCGCAGTCCGAGAAATTCAAAATGAATGTATTTTTTTAGTATACGATTTTTGTACCCCCCCCCTCCTGTCTATTTTGTTCCCGTATGTGCGCAACTTTTCATTTTTCGTGCCGCGTTCAATTCAGCTTTTTACACAGGCAATACACAATTTTTAATGCAATAAAATAGTGATATTTTAGAAATAGAAAGTTAAAAAACAAAAAAATTGATACAACGGTTTAATTTTATATTCGAAATTTATTTTGATCCACAAATACTGAAAAAAAACATCAAATAGTGTCTATAGAGAGGGACCGTCCCTTTGCGCTCAGATTCTGAACGAAAAATCGGCTTTTTCTCCGGCCACAGTTGTCTTTGAAAAGTAAGACTATTACCAATCAACAGCGAATAATAGGCTGTTTAGTTTACCCTGAAATTACCCAATTAAGGGAACGGTCCCTTTAAAGATCTAAGAACCAAATATCAACACCAAATTTTTTGAATGAATAAAATGGAATATAAAATTTGGGGGGGGGGGCAATGCTGCTAACAGTAGTAATAATAAAAAATGCTTAATAATCTCATTTTTACAGTGCAGATTTAGGTTTTGAGAGCAGTTTTTTTTGGTTGAATATATGGTAAGTGTTCTGTCGCGTGGATTCGGATCAAGGAAGTCAAAATTTTGCGAATCCGATGTATTCGGATCTTAACCACTGGTCAGTCTGACCAAAATTGGCTCCGGTTGGAATTCTGTTCCAAGCGTATGAGATTCTAAGCCATAATCCTACCTTGTTATAAAGATCAACAACCTCCTTAGCCTTCTCCCTGTCGAGTTCTACGAAGAGGATCTCGTTGAAGGGAGAACCCTCCTCCGCCGGCAACTCGAAGTTTGCTAAACATTATAACAACAGGTTAGGTCTAAAACAATAAACTTCAGGAAAATATTCAGACTTAAATAAATATTTTGGAGAAATAATTTTTAAATAAAAAAAAATCTTTTTAAAACAATAATCTGAATATTTTCCAAGGGTATATATTTTACAGAATACTTTTTTCTTTGAACTTAAATTTAAAATAAACCAAAGGGACAAAACTTTTTGTAAAATATATACCCATGTATTTAAGATGAGTTTCTTCGTTTCTACGCTGATGGCTGGGGCTACCTTTCATCTCCATGATTGCTTCGTCAGGTATATCCTTGTTTCCCGCAACATCCTGACTCTTAACCCTCTCCTTATACTGCTCGTCAGTTGGAACTACTACCACGCACCGACGCTGGAAACCCTCGAAGGGTCGAGCTTTCCGGCTCTGAGCGTTCGGGAAAACGTTTGTCTAGAAATATTATAATTCTCAACTCAACGACTAAATTCAACAGAGCAAAGTGGCTCCTGCTGAGATGTATATTTTATCTCATTTAAGAACGACCAAGCTAATTTACGCTTGATTCACTTCTTAAAGAGATATTTATTAGCCATCTATAGATTTACAACGAAATATATTATGACGAAAATGACAGTTGTTTAAAACCAGTGATAAGTTGGTTTGGAGAGAGTACAATCATGAAATCATTGATCTCATTTAAGAGCATTTATAAAACTTAAACAAATTAAAAATTACTATTACATCTAGGGCAAGATTAAACACTGTACACAATACAGTTTTTTCTCGCATTAACTGCTTTTAACACGGTTTTAACTTTTCCAGTTAAATTCTTTTCTTTGAGTTGATTTACTAGAAGGTAGCTCTATAATAATTTTTTGAGTCTCCCAAGTTCAGTGGATAACTGAGCTTTCTTTATATAAGAAAATGGCAATTTCGAGGAAGTTTGCCATCCTGCTGAGATTTGCTAGAAGGTAGCTTTGTAATAAACTTTTTTAAAGTCTCTCAAGTTCAGTGGATAACTGAGGTTGTAAAAGGTAGCTTTATAATAAATTTTTTTTTGAGTCTCAAGTTCAGTGGATAACGGAGCTTTCTTTAAATAGGAAAATGGCAATTTCGAGGAAGTTTGCCATCCTGCTGAGATTTACTAGAAGGAAGCTTTATAATAAACTTTTTTTGAGTCTCTCAAGTTCAGTGGATAACTGAGCTTTTTTTAAGATAGGAAAATGGCAATTTCGAGGAAGTTTGCCATCCTGCTGAGATTTACTAGAAGGTAGCTTTATAAAAAACTTTTTTTTGAGTCTCTCAAGTTCAGTGGATAACTGAGGTTGTAAAAGGTAGCTTTAAAATAAATTTTTTTGAGTCTCTCAAGTTCAGTGGATAACTGAGCTTTCTTTATATAAGAAAATAGCAATTTCGAGATATCTTGCCATTTATAATTTGTTTTCACTAATGGTCCGTTTATTCACTTCTGGACAGGTTCTAGAGCTGACGATCCTCACACTGTTGTAAAATTTAAACAATTTAAGATACATCAATAAATGATGAACCAACTATATGGGTGACAAATTGCTCGGCGATTACAATTCTTGGGGCTAGACATAGTTACATCAAACGATTCAGATGAAGCCATTCATATAATGTATGTGCCAGGTTTTATTTAAAAAAATGTAAAGGCTCCATTTTGCTTGTTCACATTATCATCTATGGCTTACGTTTGTTTATAAACAACAATCATTAACAACTTGTTTCAAAGATTTCGGTAAAATTTCACAATATTTTATAATGTTGTACCAGTTATATGGAATGTATTTTGAATAAATAGTACTGGATAACATGCCGATGTTGTCTTTACAAATCCATATAAGAAGGTTTTGAATTATTGTTTGAAAGTTCTTGTCTTCTTAAACATAAAATCACTTTTTCAACAGATTTTTTTCAACTCTGAATGAAATCGTAGCCTTTGTACTTATCCCTTCAAAGCAAGTCTGGAATAACGCGTAGTAATTCCTAATTTTATTTTGAAATCCTATTTTGATCTTTCCTATTCCACATAAGATATGATTCTGTTAAAGGATACTGGATCAACTTTATTTCAATTCACTCAAACCGTATCTTACAAGTCACGATCTAATCGGTTCTCAAAACAGACTCCTCCCCCCTCTCCACACTTCCGTTCACTTAACTTGTAAATGCTCCATGTCAAAGTATTTATGACCAATTCCAGAATTGATCACAAACCCCACTTCTTTCAAGGCAACGATCTTAACCGTTCACGCGAGTTTCCCCTCTGGATTTATTACGGAAACAAAACAGAATAGTTACAGACTATTGTCTTCCTAACTAAACACCGTGAAGCGCCGTCTAATCATAAAATTTAACCTTTGCCAAAAAGAGCTTTTATACTTACCTTCATTATGAGGAAAATCCACGAGAAAAAAATTAAGTTATTTTTAATAAATGTGCAGTCTGCACAATAGCAACCTCCCGTGATTATTATCCTATTTTAACTTAACCGGGAACAGTAAAATCAAGGGAGGTTGCTATGTTCAGAAGTTCGACAGGACAGGGCCAAATTTGTTAAAACCAATAAAGAAAAATTAATGGGATGTGAAATAAGTAGAATTCTAAAAATACTCATCTATATTAGATGTGACCTGATAAGAAGTTGAGTAAAAAACTCAAGAGCCGTGTGACTGTGTGCTGAACTCATTTCTTTATTGTTTGTCAATAATGACGATTATATGAGTCTTATTGGTCGAAGCACATCGAAGATGCGGTGTTCTTGAGATAAGAACATGTTTTCATGTCACAGGATATATGCAACTTCAAAAAGTTTAAACTGCATGAGAAGTAACCACTCGACAATATAAGTTAAAACTGAGTTATCTTTACAAAAAAATAAACTAAATAGAGAATATTTCAGATCAATTGTAAACTATTATTTTATTTAACAACTAAAATAATTTTGACCTGACCTTTGAGATGAATTTTAAGACTGGGTTTTGCATGAGCTCCTTGTATTCTGATAACCAAACTTTAGAAGAGAGTAAAGAACCCAGCTTAAATAATCTCAGAAATAGTTATATTTTTTGGAAGATTATTTGTATGGTCTTTGGAAATCAAAATTAAGAGTAACAATAATTAACTGGTTGATTAACTTGTGGCTGGTGGAGTACTTGTGGTTATACTTGGGAGTTATTACAACTTTTAATAGAAGAAAATAGTTTCCTGTGATCACTAGGATGGATGGTTGAGTACTATGGGAGTACTTGCGGATGTAACAGTTTAATTTGGAGTTGTTACTCCTTGTTACAAATATTTGGTGTTGTCAAAAAGCTTTATGTTTTGAGCTTTAAATGACATAGCAGTATCTCACCACTTCTTATCAAAACTGTTAAGTTTCACATTCAATTGTTTATGCACTGAGAACTTGAGAAAACTTTCTGTTCTTCTAGAAACAGGTTCTTTTGTCCCAAAGAGAAGGGTATAACATATTCTTTATATAATAAATTTTACTCATGATATTTTAAATAAATTTTTTACAGACTATTTATCAGCTATTAATCATCAAAACTTTTGATGTTAGGATATGAAGAATTTTTCAGAATTTTAATATTCAATTAACATTAAAACATAATTTTGAATATTTCGGACTAAAACGGTGTTAAACCTAGGGGCTACACCATCCTATTCGGGGCTAGACCAACTTATTTGAGGCTACACTGCCGTGCTTGAGTTAAAGTTGACTTGAACCTATACCACCGTGCTTGAGTTAAACGTTGACTTGAAGCTATACCACCGTGCTTGAAAGCACAAACCAAATGATTAAGTGTCCCAATGAACCAAACAATAAAAGATAAATTCAATTCAGCAAAAAAACTTTGATGGACAACTTGAGAATGAGGGGGCTATATTCGAGGCTCAAAACTATATCCTACCTGATCGATGATTATGTTACGCCTGCGTGCAGATGCAGTTCTGATCAGTTCCTGCAGAGATCTGGTGGCTTTCTGGATAACTAGATCCCATTTTCCAATATGAACCTTCTTTCTCAGCTCTCCTTTAACCTGAACAGAGTTTACATTTTTCATAGGAAGGTAAGTTTATTTTAATTCTTTTTAATACTTTTAACTCAAAAAATCATTTTTCCCAATTCAGTGAAAAAAACCTTTAGGAAATTTTTGCGATCAAACACATACAAATTCTGAAAAAAGGATTTTCTAAAAAAAGTGGGAGAGGAAATGATTTTTTAGAAAATATATAACTTTGCACAAAACAGATAAAGTCACGAATGACAAGATAAAAATAGTTGGTCGGCGACATAGGTGTGTATTTGAGAATTGAATAAACGTGGTAATATACAACTTCTTTTTTAATAAGTTCTTCTACACAAACCCCTTTTATACTCCCATTACAAAAAATCCTAACATATTTTTCTATTTTTTTTTTAACAGAGGCGAATGTTTAATTAGTCTAAAAAGTCTTCTTGCTCATTAAAAGGGATATTTATTTTCTTAATAATTACATCTTCTTGTTCGTTAAAGGGATATAAATTTTCTTAATAATTAACCCTCCCCCACCTTTCAATATTTATTCCTAGACACATTATGAATTAATTTAACTTACCGTCATTTTCCTAAACATCTCGTTGGTGCTGATAACATTATAATTCTTATCCGGGTTCTCCTTCACATGATTCTCAACCCAGTGAGTTTTACCGGCTCCGGGTAGTCCGACCATCATGATCATCTCACAGTCTTCCCTCTTCTCAATTCTAGCAGTTCCACGGATCTTATTCTCCGCCTTTCCAGCCTTGATGTATTCCCCTTCAAGCTTCTCTTTCCAGTTCTCAACATCTTCTCCTTTCTTATCAACCCCGAAGTTGACTTGGAACTTGACGTTCCTGGTTAGGATATGAGGAAAGAAAGATTGTCCTTCTACCAGTTCAGATCTAGGTATCTGATAAGCATCACCTTGGTCCTCACCGTTCTTGGTGAATGTCATACTAATCTCGTCCTCTCCGATATCGAGGAAGGCTCCGATTACGTCGTTTCTTCCATATTTCTCTCCATAATCCTCAAACTTACTAGCAGAGGCCATGTTGCCCTGACAGCTAGAATAGCACCAAGTATTAGGAGCATCTCCAAGCATCAGATCAGCGTCATTAGTGCTCCATCCAACCCTGAGATCAAATGTTGAAGCTTCCTTCTCAACCTTAGCATCCATATTGTCGATGTACTTCACCTCATACCAGATTTTACCGGTTTGAAACCCATGTGTAGCTCTAGCTCCAGCGTAGCAGTAGGACCAACCATCACGGATAAATGGAAGCGCGGTGAACAGATCCTCGCTTATCTTCAAACTCAGGTCGGAGTTGTACCAATCCAAGCAAACAAGATCATCAGCAATCTCAGGTTCATTCTCTTTGACCTCGAAAGGTTCCTCTTCAACCTTTCTCTTCACACCCTTAACATCTTCCTTCTTAGTTTCGGGTTTAACTTCAGCTTCGGGTTTAACTTCTTCAACTTTAGGTTTATCTCCTTCCTCCATAGGTTCAGCATCTCCTCCTGCACCTGCCTCGGCCTCAGTAAGCTCTGCTGATTCTTCAACAGGTTTCTCTTTATCTAGAGCCTCCTGGAGTCTGGCAACTAGGACGGGTTTAGTTCCCTTTGTGTCCAATCCTCTCTCCTGCAGGGCACTGCGCAGGTCAGTCACCTTCATCTTTTCCGGAGCAGTTTCAGACATTTTCTTAACATAAAATAATTTTAGTTCAACTTCTACTTTCAATATGTTACATTGATTTAACAAAGATACTTTAGATAATTTATACTAGAAATAGTAAACAAATTTTTAAAATGAAATTCTGTGAACTCAATTCAACTTTTTTTTAGTGAACTCAAAGGGACAGACAGGCTATGTAAGGTAGTTTGAGTATGCAGTGGGACAAATTCTTTAGGATTCATTCGAGACATATAAATCTTATAAATATAGATCTGTAAGTCCTGAATTTGAGCGCAAAGTCGACGTTCAAAATCGTACTTTTGGGTGGATATGTTTTCAGAATTTTTTTTTTTTTAAATTGTTAAATAACGACGACAAAAAAGTAACCAAATTCTACAGTTAACTAATTAGTTGTTAAGGAACAGATTGAGAAAATAAAATTAACTCTTATCTTCGAAATTAAGTAATCTTATTCAATTATTAGTTTCTTTCTATAATCACTCTTTAATCACAAAAATTTTCTTCAGATTTTCTGGAATTTTTATTAAAAAGACGTTATTTGAAGAATTTAAAGAATCTGCGAACAAATTCATAGAAAATAAGAAATTCAATATAATGATGAAAAAAGGAAAAATTAAGTCTAACTTTGATTTATTGACAAAAGTTCTTTTAGGAAATATGTCGTCGTTTTTTATAATTAAAAAAACTGATTCTGGAAATGCACCCCTCCAAATTCATGATTTTGAACGTCGACGTGGTTAAAGGGACAGACCGACTTTGTAAGGTAGTTAAACTGAGTATGCAGTGTTGTGGACAAATTCTTCAGGATTCATTTGAGACATATAAAACTTTTTAAAGATCTGTAAATCCTGAGTTTGAGCGCAAAGTCGACGTTTAAAAATCGTACTTTTGGGTGCATACGTTTTCAGAATTGTTTTTTTTAATTAATAAATAACGACGACAAAATTGTAAACAAAATTATACCGTAAACTAATTGGTTGTTAAGGAACAGATTGAAAAAATAGAAATTAACTCTTATCTTCGAAAATAAGTAATCTTATACAACTATTAGTTTCTATAATCTCTCTGATCACAAAGATTTAAAGATTTCCTGCAGACTTTCTAGAATTTTTATTAATTAAAGACGACATTTTAAGAATTTGAAGAAATCTGCGAACAAATTCACAAAAAATAAGAAATTCAATTTAATGATGTTTTTTTTGTCGTCGTTATTTTATAACTTAAAAAAAACGATTCTGAAGACGTACCCACCCAAATTCATGATTTTGAACGTCGACTTTGCGCTCAAACTCACTAATTATACATCATGGAAACGTTTAATGTCCCCCCTTCCTGCGGCTAGGACAGGCTAGGGGGCGAGCGCTGCGACTAGGATAGGCTAGAGGGCGAGCGCTGCGGTTAGGACAGGCTAGGGGGCCGAGCGCCGCGGCTACGACAGACAAGGGGGCCGGGCGCTGCGGCCACATGACCATTTATACATTTAAACCATGTAAATGACCATTTAAATGTACAAAATTGATTGAAGGGAGGGGGTCCAAAAGTCGTTCTCTAGAAATTGCCAATTTTACTATGTTCATCAGTTCTTCAGTTTCAGATGAGATAAGTGTGATAGCCCTAACCCGTGGCCGCAGCGCTCGTCCCCCTAGCCCATCCTAGCCGCAGCGCTCGGCCCAGAAAGTATCTTAACCTAACCTAACCCTAAATAACAAAAAATCATGTACAAAATTTATAGGAGGGGGACGGGAAGGGTTTAAAAATCGTTCTCTAGGACAGACCCTACAACTTTAGTTATCTCTAATCTTAACTTAATATTGGATCAAAACATACCTTCTAAATTTGTTTAAATTGACGTGAAAAATTTGTGTTGTTTTCCTCCGGCAGGTTTCTCCAATATGGCGACCTAATTATGAGCATGATGCCGCTAATGAAAGCTGGATTCTCATTTGTCCGTAGGATTCCCTTCTCCTCTCTGCAACCAATGAGAAAGCCTATAACAAAAATTTAGAAAGCACTTTACTTCACAACTACCAATAAGGACCAGGAAGAGGGAGGGGGGGCCATGCGGCCATGAACCCCGCAATTCCGGTATTAGCACAACTTATGAACGCGTAGGGTAGATGATCCTACCAACCAGGATTAGTTAAGAGTGCTATTAAGGGACTCTTGACCCGGCCTAAGATTTATCGCAGGATAATTAAAACATTGAAAGATTTATTTATATTTAAGTTTTCAACTTTTAACTATATCTATCTGTGAGGTATAGGAAGGGTATATAATATATATGGATGAAGGATGAACTACACTATCTGTGAGGTATAGGAAGCTGGTATATAATATATATGGATGAACAGGGGGCGGGCATAACTCTCCTAATTTTGCCTGGCTAGGTTTATACTGTACAGTGAATTTTGTCGAAAAATGTTTCCTTATGACTGAGTTGGTATCATAGAGTACAGTGGGTTTAATCCTAAGTACATCTATTTGTACGGTATTGTGTGAACAGTTAATTTTAATATTTTTCAACAATGAGATATTGTAGTGTCAAAAATTGTGTAAACAACGATGTTTCGGGTTCAGAAATTTTTCATAACATACGAAAAGAGTGGATAGAACAAGTTATCTGGAAGACAAAACACCCAATTTTTATATGCAGTGAACATTTTGACAAAAATTGTTAAAGAAACAGAGATAGCAAAATACTCAGAAATGGTGCAGTTCCCTCTATATTTAAAATGGGTTGTGTGAACAACTCATTACAGGTCGCAAGGCATGACCTTTCATACCAAAGAGAGAATCTAAGCAAAGAACAGCTTTTCGAGGTGGACTTATTTATCCGTCGAAAGATTTAGTAAAAGTTTGTGAAATAAGAGAGAAAAAAATAAGGGAAACCAGAAATAATCATAATCTTTTTTACAATAAAAACATTCTTCATTATTTATGTGTTAAAGTGATATCTACTCTCACAACCCAACATCCAGAAATTCTGAAGAATGCCAATCATGAAGCAATGCACAAATATGAACTTCTCAAAAAAATTTGAAGCTCCTACTGCACTCAACAGAAAGAACATGTTCACAATTTAAATAGAAGATGGGCGCGAAGCGCCCTAAAAGCCTAGTAACTTTAAAATTAAGTCTAACCTAATTTAGATCTATTATTAGTTCAGAATTGCTTTTCATTCTAAAAGTCAGAAACCTATATTCCTAAGAGTTAATGCACAATGTAGATTTCAGAAGTAAAGAATTTGATAAGAAACAAGATGTTATTAAGGAGAAGGATTTTATTTTTTTCTCTATTTGTCATGTCTCATTTTTATACAAAAATCATATGGGCTTATTTTCTTTGCTTGAATATTGTAGGCTTCACTTTCAAACAATAATGTCTTAGAACACTGATCTACGAATTATGATCCCCCCAGGTAGAATTTCTGATCGGGTCATTGTGTACAGTGGCTGTACAACAAGAAGTCTAAAATTCCAGATGCCCCCTCTATTACTAATATCTCGATGTGGATGAAAGATGAACTATTATCTCTGCAATCTGTGAGATAGGAAGGGTATATAATATATATGGATGAAGGATGAACTATATCTATCTGTGAGGTATAGGAAGGGTTTATAATAGATATGGATGAAGGATGAACTGTGTTCTCTGCAGTATATTGAATGTAGCAAGATTTAAGCTGACTCTGCAAGTATTGATACATGAAGATTCGGGTGAATGGTTTTTCTTATTTTCTCAGTTGAGAGAAGAAAATGTACGTTTGTTTTAGGAAGGAAAACATCATTTCCTGTCATTATATACTCAGTGTTTCCTTGTCTTGGTCAGATGCATGGAGGGGGCATCTTCATATTTTTACAATTTGTTTCCTTCGTTCTTAATTTTCCAACTTGTTTTATTTATACAGTACAAGGTACTGAGTTCTTGCCACAAACTCTGATTATTCAATCACTTTATCCTTGCAACTTATATCATAGATATTAAAAATACCTAAAGTTTACACCATCAGGTTGCAAAGATTTAGGAATTTTATAATGTTGAGTTTGTGGCAAGAATTTAGTTCTTTTAATGAATAGGAGAAGCTGTTGAACTGTGTAAACCAAATTAAACCTTTTTTCAGGTTGATGGCACAAGTGAATTGGTTAAACCATATAGCGGTACGTAGTTCAACTATTTCTCACTATATCATGAAATATAAAGTTTACAGCACAAACAATCCTGTAGAAGATCAGAAAAGATAAATACTGCTAGACTAGAAATGTAGTTTGCGCTAAAGCATTAATATTGACGTAAAAAAATACACTGAGTTATTTCTTTTAGGCCATTTTTTAAATTTTAAACAAGATAAAAAATTGTCATTTAATGATAGAAACGATTATATAAATTATGTATTACGAAAAAGTTAGTATTACAGAGCAAAGGACATAGTATTTTTTCAGAAGCAGCTTATATGGACTCCAGTAATTTTCTTCTTGAACTTGCTTTTAACCATAAAAAAATGTCAAACGTTTTTTTGATACAGCTATGATTGCTGGAAACAAATGATTTCTTTGGAATAAAATTTACTTTTTTTTCCGATCCGAGTGAATGTTGCAACTTTCTAAAATTGTGTGGACGAGTCGTTCTTCGGTATGAGTCCTTATAGACGCAACAGATAGAAGTAAGATTAGTAGCAATCACAATCGATAATTTTTCCACGTAAATATATACCCCTTTTCATTTTTCGCGAACACTCCCTTTGAGAATGAAAAAATTGAATATGGGGATAGTTATTTTATTTAGGATATATAGAATAGTTTAGAGTAAACCAATCACACATTTCGTAGAACTCTTAGACTTCAATATCTATCTATCTTTATTCTATTTATCTATCTATCTATCTATCTATCTATCATGTATCTATGATCTGAAATTCAGGTTTAAGGTCCTACTGCCTGTGTTATGAATGTCTTTAGTCTCTGTATCTCTTATCTTTACTCAGTAAACATTTTATTCAAGATAAATGCCTTCAATCAGGCAGTTACACAGATTTTCAGGCACTGTCAGGCAGTTCCAGCAAGGATCAGGCACTGTCGGTCAAGGATCAGGCATTGACAAGCAGTTTTATCAAGAATCAAGACTATTTCTTTGTAGAACAAGTCCTTTTAAAAATCATCTAGTTTCTTCAATACATTCAGGTTGGATTTTTTCATTGAAATAAGAGATTTGAAAGGTATGGAATGAAACCAGTTTTTACAGTTAACTGTGGTGTTTTTTTACGGCTCAGATTTTTATGTAATGCACCTTCGATAGTGTAAACAAAACAAAACTTGCTATATCCACTTTTTTGAACCTTCTGAATAAAGTATATTTAGAAGTAGCGTGCACAAAACTCCGTGTTCCATGTTTATTCCTACCTTTTCAGTGACTGATTCCTGTCCACAAGATATACATGTCTCATTCTCATATCTTTGCTTCCTAATGTCGTAGACCTTTGATATATAATTCAATCTGATAATTCTGCTAGATCAAATACCATCTGCAGATTGCATAGATCTAAAAACAAGAGTTAGATATAAGTAATCCATTGCGGATATCGATATCGAAATCGATATTTTAACCTTTACTGAGTCTCAAGAAAAATTCCCTGTCTCAAAATCAGTATGATTGTTACTCCCCAAAAAACACAAAATATTTTTGTAACAGAATTGATAAAATCTTATCCGGGAACTGATTAAAGGAAAACGTCCCCTGTATACTTATCAACATCGACCTGTGCAGAGCATATCTTTGATTAAAACGTAAAGAAAGATATGCCACCACATTTCTTTGTTGCCGTCCAAGCAACTTAGGATAAAGTCAACATAAAATCATAAAACAAACTTTATACTATTTTAGGTTTTAGGTATTTTTAATCAAACCATCAAATCAAATGTATTCAGCTAATCTCTTTTGGATGTTTTTGATGATTCAATTATTCAGTTACAATAAAAACTCTTCTCTCAGTTTCGTACAACGGGAGATCGGAAAAATGAAAGTCAGCTGTTATTCCGTAAGGATTAAGCGCTTAATCGCATCAAATCATTAGCTTTTGGCTGTTGGTATTAAGTTCAAGCATTGAAGATTAGCGCTATATAATTCAAACAAAAGCTTCAACCTTTGAAAATATATTGCCTATTTATGATATGAAAAACAGGATATTAGGAAATATTATTTTAATTTTGATTTCTTACTATAGGACAAGGAGGAGATAGGTTTATTTACAAACCTTACAAGTACCCAGAGAAATACAGAGAAATTATTCAAGACGCATCAGGTTCGAATTTACTACAGAGGTCGGCGTTTATATCAATATAACGGAGAGCATTTTTCTAATTAATTTCCAGCATAAATACATGAAAACAAAGAACAGCTGTTTGGTAGTTTCTCTTTGTTTCCATGTTCATGTGTATCCTTGCTGCTTCAAAAATTGAAATCTAAAGTCGTATTCATTGTATTGATATTTATGGCAACGACTGTACTTTATTTTACCGTAGTTTCGACAAATAATATATTTTGTTTATCCCGAGGCAATGTATTTTTATTTCTTATCCTACATTAGGAAGTCAAATTTTCTTGAAATATTTCATCATTCATTAAAATTAATTGAGGGATCTAGAGTTCCATTAAACTAATGACGATCTTCTCAAAAGACGTAAATTAGATGAATATTTAAAAAAAAACGAATAAGATATACATTATATATGGCGTCAAACATTTTATATATATCATAACCTAAAACATATTGTTTTAAATTACAAATTAGTTTGTCTTTATATAAGTTTATGAAACAAATATTAAAAGAAAAATTTCTAACATTTAAACCTTTATCAGCCTCTAAAACATAAAATGTTCACAGACAGTCTAAAACATATAACACGTTATAAGAAAAGGAATTGCTTTGAATCTTTTTTTTAAATTAGAGGGTCATACTCATTTTTTTCTAGAAAGAGCAAAAATTAAAGGCTAAATATTTACCTCCCAATTCTTTAAATTTATTTGACCTCAGCTTTTTAGAGAAAAGGATGTCGGTCAGGTTTGATGGAAGGGTTGCTCTGGTCACAGGGGCAGGAGGAGGTAGACATCTTATATGGTCGCCAGTAATTTTCTTCTTGATCTTGCTTTTAACCATAAAAAAATGTCAAACGTTTTTTTGATACAGCTATGATTGCTGGAAACAAATGATATACAAGAAAAAACCCAATAATAATAAATTTGCTGAAAAATAAATGGTCATGTACAAAATTTATAGGAGGGGGACGGGAAGGTAAAGATAATATAAAAGATTTCAATTAAAATTTATACAGATTTATACAATTATTTTTACCATTGTTTTGCCATTAAATATCTTCATCAGTAATTATAAATGTTGAATAATGATATAAGTAATGAGAGTAAAAATAATGATAATTACTATGATGTTTATGATGATGTGTATATTAGGTTTGGGAAGATCATATGCACTGTTGTTGGCTCAACGAGGAGCTAAGGTCGTCGTTAATGATCTTGGAGGATCAAAGTAAGACCTTTATATAAATGTTCTTTGATTGTTTCTGTGAAGAATAGAAAAGGGGTGGATTTAGAAGAAAGTAAAATGAAAATTTTACTAAATCTTTGTTTTTCATGAGCGTTGGCACTTTTTTAAGGGGTAAATAAGGTAAAGGACAAAAAAAGTTAACTATCTTCCCTTCAATTAAACTAATGCATTTTATTTTAGGTAAATCTTTAAAAAAATCGCAAATTCTAAGTTCTTTTGCCTGAAGAACTATTGATATGCAGAAATATGTTTTAAATTTTTTTAAGCAACCAATCGAATTCGAATTTGCTTTCCTCATTCTTTAGTTTAAACTAAACATAACACCTATGAGACACATTCTAATTTTTCCATCAATATTTTTGCAACCTATATAGTGATATCGAAACTTTTGTGCGGAGTTTCCAATTTGAGGACTAATGCTTGATCACTCAATTCAAGTTATCCATGCAGGGTAGGGGTATGACTTCCACGGGATTTAGAAGAGGAATTAAATCAATCCGTAGACTCTGTATTATATGGAGATTAATGTTTCAATACGAGAATCTGAGTTATACCATCAGAAGCTCTGACTTCTGATGGTGTAGATCTTTTGTATTCTAAACTTAGATGGATCAAACAAAAATTCATAGTTTGAAATATCAATTGTCTCCGACATCATGTTGCAAAGATATAGATACTTGAAAATTAGAATAGGTGTCGAGTATTTACTTCTTTTGGAGTTTAGAGTACTCTCCATAGCCTCCCCTATCAGGTGCTATATGTTTAGATCAGGAGGTGGAGGAGATAGTAGAGCAGCTGATCTTGTTGTCCAGGAGATCAGAGCATCAGGAGGAGAAGCTGTACCTAACTACGATAGTGTAGAGGAGGGGGAGAAATTGGTTCAATCCGCGCTCAACGTGTACGGACGGATAGATATTGTTATCAACAACGCGGGTATTCTCAGGGATAAATCCTTTGCAAGGTTGTCGGAGCAAGATTGGGATCTGGTCCATAGGGTTCATCTACGGGGAGCTTTTAAAGTTTCTCAGGCAGCCTGGCCACATATGAAGAAAATCAACTTTGGTCGAATTATCATGACATCATCAGTTGCGGGGATCTTTGGTAACTTTGGTCAGGCAAACTACAGCGCAGCTAAACTTGGTTTGGTTGGGTTATCCAATACTTTAGCAGAGGAAGGAGCAAGGTTCGGTATTCATTCAAATGTAATAATTCCCATGGCAGCCTCTAGACTAACCCAGGATATCCTTCCTCCGGAGGTTTTTGATGCATTGTCTCCGGATCATATTGCTCCTATTGTGGCTTGGCTCTGTCATGAGGATTGTGAGGAGAATGGAAGTATAGTTGAGGCAGCAGGAGGTTGGGCAGGTAGATACAGGTGGCAGAGAAGTAAAGGAATAGTTCTAACTGATCAGAGAACTAAGATGGTTTCACTAGAGAACGTGAAGGATGGATGGGAGAAGGTTATTGATATGTCGGAGCATGAGTATCCGGATTCAACACAAGGGGCTACTATGGATGTTGTTGCCAGGATTCAAGAATCTATGAGTTCTGATCCTGGGCACAGCTCTGACGAAGTTTCTCCGCTAAGTGCGGTTGGATATACATCTAAACCTGTTCCGTTCTCATATAATTTTAAGGATTTGATAATATACGCTCTAGGGGTGGGAGTATCCACCAAGGATAAGCATGGTTTAAGATATTTATATGAAAATGATGAAATGTTCTCTGCTTTGCCAACCTTCGGAGTTATCCCTGCTATGAGCGGACTAGAAGATCTTGTGTCGGGAAATATTCCAGGATTAGATTTTCATCTTGCAAACGTTCTGCACGGAGAACAGTACATGGAGATTTTAAAACCAATCCCAACCTCAGGACGACTTGAAAACATATTCCGGATTCAGGATGTGTTGGACAAGGGATCAGGTATGGTTCTGCTTATAGAAGTAGAAACAAGGGATGAGAATAACGAGCTTCTCATGCGAAATCAGAACTCAATCTTTGTAAAAGGAAGCGGAGGGTTTAATGGTCCAAGGAATTCCAAACACCTGACTCCGGTTTCAACTCCTCCATCCCGCTCTCCAGATAAAACCCTAAAACACAAAACCACCGTTGATCAAGCTGCTCTGTATCGTCTGTCTGGTGACCTGAACCCTCTCCACATAGATCCTGCATTCTCTGCTATAGGAGGATTCTCGTCTCCAATCCTTCACGGTCTCTGCACCTACGGGATCGCTGTGCGACATGTGATAGACGGGTTCTGTGCTGGCGATCCTGGAGCTGTGAGAGAGATCAAGGCAAGGTTTTCTAAACCCGTTCTTCCAGGACAAACTGTGATTACAGAGATGTGGAAGGACGCAGACAAAGTTCTCTTCTCCTGCCAGGTTCAGGAGACAGGGGAGAAGTGTCTGACAGGAGGTTGGATTCGGATTCAAGGTTTCAATAATAGTAAATTGTAAATATTCAATTCAAAAAAATGTCTTCATATATATTCAAAATTCTAGCCGTGATAAAAGACATTTTTTGTATTTAATTGTAAGATTTGCTTTATATGTATTTTATTTTTTCAAAATATGTGTCTGGGTCAAATTTTCTCTGTATCTCGACAAAGAAAAGATAAATAGTAAAGAGAGGATTTAGTAATTCCAGCTCTTCCGTGTGTTTCTAAATGTACTTTTTTACATTTTACCCAGATATCGGATAACGGGAGGTTACATAAACATATCTTTTGTTTATATTGTTGATTATTTAAAAATAAATGAACAAATTTGTTATCTATTATAATTATGTTGGAATGATACTTTATTAATCTTTTATATTTTATCCATGGATTGATATATAGATCTATAGATACAAACATTGAAAAATATTTATAACTCTTCAAATTAGAAATGTATTATTGGTTCTCAGAAAAATTAGAATCCATTTTTTGCCTCAAACTCAAATTTTCTTATTTTTTTCTCTTTTCAACCTGATATTTTAAACTTAATATTTGATTTAGCAGAATTCATAGTTTGAAATATCAAAGGTCTACGACATTAGGTTGCAAAGATGCAGCGATTAGAGAATTGGAGTTTGTGTTAAAGACTCTTTATTCCTCAGAAATGTATAGTTAACTTTCAGAAAAATAAGAATAAATGTAAAGGAATTGAGTCTTTATAACAAACTCTGATTATCTAATACCTATATTTTTTCCATCTGATGGTGTAAACCTTTGATATTTCAAAGTTAGATTTTTTCATCTAACAGAATTCATAGTTTGAAATATCAAAGGTCTACGGCATTGGATTACAAAGATATAGAGATTAGAAAATCATAGTTTGTGACAAAGACTCAATTCCTTTAAAGGCGTGAGGAAATCAATGATAAACCTGAGAGAGGAAAAGTTATAAGGCAGGGACGGACAAGTTTAAAAAGTTAGGATGGAAGGATAGGATAATAATAATAATAATAACAACGGGCAAGTTTTAAAAGTTAGGATGGAAGGTTAAGATAATAATAATAATAACAACGGGCAAGTTTAAAAAGTTAGGATGGAAGAATAAGATAATAATAATAATAACAACGGGCAAGTTTAAAAAGTTAGGATGGAAGGATAGGATAATAATAAAAATAACAACGGGCAAGTTTAAAAAGTTCGGATGGAAGGATAGGATAATAATAATAATAACAACGGGCAAGTTTAAAAAGTTCGGATGGAAGGATGGGATATTAATTTAGGAGACAATTCTGATATGAACAATCAGTGGTAAAGTCATTAAAAAGCTTGTCTGATTCAACAAATACCTTTCTTATTGATATCGGTAGAGTGTTGAAGGTAAATGGGATTTAATGGAGTTTGCTATTGATACCCAAAAACTGCAGTTTATAAAGTAAGAATTGCTTGGAAACAAAGCTTTGCTTGGATGTACAAAAAACAAACAGAGATTACTACTTTATATATATTGTTTTTATTGATTGTAAAGCTTTAAGAAAGGTTAATTTTTTTTGAAACCAAAAGCTTTAACAAATTTAGCAAATCTAATAAACATCACTTAGCTTTTAACTGATGTTTATTAGACCCCCTGTAAGCGAGGGACAGGGAAAAGAGAGGAAAACGGTTAAACTGATGTTTATAGGATCTCCCTGTAAGCGAGGGACAGGGAAAAGAGATGGAAACGGTTTAACTGATGTTTATAGGATCTCCCTGTAAGCGAGGGACAGGGAAAAGAGATGGAAACGGTTTAAGGATCTCCCTGTAAGCGAGGGACAGGGAAAAGAGATGGAAACGGTTTAACTGATGTTTATTGGATCTCCCTGTAAGCGAGGGACAGGGAAAAGAGATGGAAACGGCTAAACTGATGTTTATAGGATCTCCCTGTAAGCGAAGGGCCAGGGAAAAGAGAGGAAAACGGGTTAACTGATGTTTATTAGATCTCCCTGTAAGCGAGGGACAGGGAAAAGAGAGGAAAACGGTTTAACTGATGTTTATTGGATCTCCCTGTAAGCGAGGGACAGGGAATAGAGAGGGAAACGGTTTAACTGATGTTTATTGGATCTCCCTGTTAGCGAGGGACAGGGAAAAGAGAGGGAAACGGTTTAAATGGTGTTTATAGGATCTCACTGTAAGCAAGGGACAAGGAAATGAGAGGAAAACGGTTTAACTGATGTTTATTGGATCTCCCTGTAAGCGAGGGGCAGGGAAAAGTGAGGAAAACGGTTTAACTGATGTTTATTGGATCTCCCTGTAAGCGAGGGACAGGGAAAAGAGAGGGAAACGGTTTAACTGATGTTTATTGGATCTCCCTGTAAGCGAGGGACAGGGAAAAGAGAGGGAAACGGTTTAACTGACGTTTATTGGATCTCCCTGTAAGCGAAGGACAGGGAAAAGAGAGGGAAACGGTTTAACTGATGTTTATTAGATCTCCCTGTAAGCGAGGGACAGGGAAAAGAGAGGAAAATGGTTTAACCGGTGTTTATAGGATCTCCCTGTAAGCAAGGGACAAGGAAATGAGAGGAAAACGGTTTAACTGATGTTTATTGGATCTCCCTGTAAGCGAGGGAAAAGAGAGGAAAATGGTTTAACCGGTGTTTATAGGATCTCCCTGTAAGCAAGGGACAAGGAAATGAGAGGAAAACGGTTTAACTGATGTTTATTGGATCTCCCTGTAAGCGAGGGGCAGGGAAAAGAGAGGGAAACGGTTTAACTGATGTTTATTGGATCTCCCTGTAAGCGAGGGACAGGGAAAAGAGAGGGAAACGGTTTAACTGGCTTGTTTTTCTCCCATGGTAGGAACGTGTCTAGAATACTGAACTCAACAGAGAATTGTGAAAATATATAAGTTCTAGTTCCGCGACATCAAACAGTCAAAACTTTACATAATTATACGAATTCTTTAGTTTAAAGGGACTGTAAGTGTAATTTTATGTGACCCTACATGCCAAGCTGGCATTAGCTTATTTACACGTGTACCCTAGTAAAATAGCTGGCAATAGCTTATTTACCCGTGTACCCTAGTAAAATAGCTGGCAATAGCTTATTTACACGTGTACCCTAGTAAAAGCTTTGTCTGAAAAATTATGATTTAGAAATCAATGTTTATAATTTTGAAAACTAATTATTTACAATTATGGTTTCTCTACAAAAGTGAATTGTGCATTTCTACTGCAAGAAAACATACATAAATTATCAAAAATAAACACCTTCAAACCTAGAAAAACGACAATATTTTCCACATTATTGATCAGATAAATGTTTAAGGGTATACCATTGTAAATCGGGCATTGCTATAATTGCATAGAGCTGGACACTTGAAATTACGCGTACAAAGCCTGCGATGTATGTTTGTAAGTACAGGGTGTCCCAAAAAACATGGGAATTCAGTGACGAATTCGATATCGTCTTTGTTATGAATTAGCATTGTAATACCTAATTTCAAAAGCCATAATATTGTTATGTCTGCTAGAGTTTATTTAATGAAAAGGGTAAAAGACTGAAAAGATGTGTCTATAATGTCTCCGCAAGATGAACAGTGAATATGGACAAGTTTAATCTGTTTGTATACTGTAATTTTCTTGTTTTACATAAGTACAACCGGTTGCAGTCAAAACATAAACAAACAAAATGTAAACATAGCAGACGAAACTCTTACAGATTACAGCTTTCTCAGTAGGTATCACTATACTAAATAAAAGAATTATTCACAAAGACGATATCGAATTCGTCACTGAATTCCCATGTTTTTTGGGACACCCTGTATGTCACACATTTCTGTATCTTCAATTGGTTTCTTTAATAGTGTTATTAACAGAAACTGCAGTGCCCCCTTAATGTATGTCTTCATTTATATAAGTGTTTCTTCATTTGTGCTTCCTCATGCAATAATGCAACTCTTCCTAATTTGTGCTTCCTCATTCAATAATGCATACTTATTAGTGCTTCCTCATGCAATAATGCACCCTTAATAGTGCTTCCTCATGCAATAATTCACCTTTACTAGTGCTTCCTCATGTAATAATCCAACTCTTCCTAATTAGTGCTTCCTCATGTAATAATGCATCCTCATTAGTGCTTCCTCATTCAATAATGCATCCTCATTAGTGCTTCCTCATGCAGTAACTCTTCCTAATTAGTGCTTCCTCATTTAATAATGCATCCTCATTAGTGCTCCCTCATGCAATACTGCACCCTCATTAGTGTTATCTCATGATATAATGTATCCTTATTAGTGCTTCCTCATTCAATAATGCATCCTCATTAGTGCTTCCTCATGCAATAACTCTTCCTAATTAGTGCTTCCTCATGTAATAATGCATCCTCATTAGTACTTCCTCATGCAAAAATGCATCCTCATTTGTGCTTCCTCATTCAATAATGCATACTTATTAGTGCTTCCTCATGCAATATGCACCCTTAATAGTGCTTCCTCATACAATAATGCACCTTTACTAGTGCTTCCTCATGCAATAATTCATCCTAATTAATGCTTCCTCATGAAATAATGCACGTTTATTAGTGCTTCCTCATGCAGGAATTCATCCTCAATGGTGCTTCCTCATAAGTTTGTCCCCTGTTGCTGATTATTGATAAATGTTGCACCAGCTAATATTAGAGTGTCCTATTTTTAGTATACATAATATAAAATACATTATTCATTTTTGGATCATATTTGAACATTTTAGTTTTTTGGTATGTAACAGGCGTCACCACTGTAAACTCCGGTTAATTTCAGGTTGACTTAAAACCAGACAGAGTACAATTAATATGTAAGGGAAACCGGGACGGTACGCCAAATGATTATGAATGATCCCCTTCTAGTGAAATGGATGTGTTACACTCACAGCAATGAAATTTTTTACATATTTGGAAATAGAAATATCATTGCATACTTTACTTAGACTTAAAGATCATACACGGGAATAATATGAATTATAATAATAAATGTTCTCTGGACTGTAATCGGCCATTTCGTTTCGTGATATTCTTTTAAAAATCTTTTTAAAGAAAATGAATATATTGTTGTAAAGTCAAATTAATTTTTATTAAGTCTCCCTGTAGCAAAGTATCCTATATTACTCCCTAGCTGCAGTGATACTTTGACGTCATAAAGAATATAAAATCTTCTCCCCTCGTCTATAGTAAAAGAAGAAGAATAAATGAGGCTGAACGAAGACCAATAAATCTCTGGAATTAGCGAAAGGCACTCCCTCAATCCTCCGTATACTTGACCAGAGCCTACAGGCAGAGACGGCTTATATAAGGGGGAGGAGGGGGGACGTCCCCCTCCCTGGAAATTTGGTGGGACATCCTCCCCCATTTAAAAAATTTAGGACATAGAGGGGGGGGGGGGGGGTTGGTGAAACTTCTAGTCCTTTTTCTTTGATTTTTAACAATGGATTTTGTTTAAATTTTACCTGTGGCTACACTTACTTGTCTAAATGTTGATAAACTTTTTATTTTTTTTTCCCGGGCGGAAAGTGGAAACCACTTTTCACACTGTCACTCCTACAGGAAGCAAAGGATTCTTGAGAGTGTATTCTGAGCACAAATAAAAGTATATGTTTGCTTAAGCACATGTTTTTTATATTAATATATCAACATTTTGTGCTATTATTCTTTTGTGTAACAATATTGACACACACGTTCCTATCTCTGCATGGATAAATTTGGTTTAGGGATCAAAGATCAAAAATTATCCTCAAATTTAAAAATGTTCTCAAAGGTTACAGAGATTTAAAATTCGGTGATGGTGATGGACCAAACCTCTGTAGAGTAAAAAAGTAGATGTTAGTTCCACATTTATTGAAAATATATTTCGGTCTGGGTTGACCCTCGTCAGTTCTTGAGATTGTTTCTTCACAAAGATTAAAAACAAACTGTGTAAGCGTGCAAAAGTTCCTTTGATAAAATTGGCATTTTTTCCGTTTTGAAATATCACTTCAAGTTTTTCAAGCACTATCCATTAATTCAGAACTCTAATAAGTAATAATTTATTAAGTAGATATATTACAGAAGAAGTTTGGATGAGAAAGGACAGTTTTCTTGCATTACTCTGTACAATGGAGACTCCTCTGTGAGATTTCTAGATGAAGTTTTCTTTCCCCAGATATGTGTTGCTATGCTGGACCTGACATTTTTATATTTTTTTAAATGTTTTTTTCCTTTTTTTAAAAATTTAATAGTAATAAAAGTCTGGCTCTTAAAAATGTGGAACAAGAGGACGACTTTTAGATTCAAATTTTAGATTAGAATATCTGATTTTAAATAGTCCAATGAACATAAAAAAGCTTTTTTTGTAGTATACAACCCAATTTCAATTAGTAATTTGATGTTAAATCTTGTGATAAAAATGCTTACTTAATGAAAACATACAATAAACATGAGATTGCTTGAATTTCGTCTTCTCATTCCACGGTTTTAGTGTACGAAGTGCAATAGATACATATTTAAGATATTTAAAATTTATTCTTTTTATTGACATGTAGCCATGTGAATTTAGTCTGTGCAGAATAATATTATGATAAAATTAAAATCTTAACCTCAATCTTTTCTCCAAGTCTCCTCTCTCTCCGTGGAAATACATATCAACCTGTATATTTTCTTCCTGAAATTTTCCCCTTTCATCAATTCAACAAAAAAGCAAAAAGAATTATCACAAAGGAATTGAGATTTTGCCACAAAATTCAATCTTCTAATCCCGTAATAAGATTTGCAACCTGACTGTGTACAGTTTGTAAGGTCTAAAACATCGGGTTACAAAGACATAAGGATAAGAAATCAAAGATTGCAACAAACACACAATTTCTTTAAGGATTTAGAAAATATGATTAGCATACAGACCTCCCGCCAATTAACCGCGTAGAAAACTTCCTGTTTGAGAATTTGGATTCCGGAGCAGGTTTCCGGCCAACTTATATCCTGAAGTATTTAATATACCACTATTAAAGGGGGCTAATAATAACTGCACGTAACATTCAGAACCTGATTTCTGCCTGTATCCTGTATCTTTAACTCTATATCCTGTATCTTTGGAAACTTTCTGTATCCGGCTGTATCTTTAAGAACCTGATCTCTTCCAGTATTCCGTATATCCTATAATCTAATCTCGAGCTGTATTCTGAATCGTTAAAAACATTATCCTGTATCCTGTATCTATGAGAACCTGATTTTTGACTGTATCCTGCATTTCTGATAACCTGATCCTGTATCCTATAGCCTAATTTTTAACTGTATTCTGTATCCTTGAAAACCCGATCTTTACGTGTATCTTATTTCCTTGAGAACCTGATCTCTACCAGTATCTTGTATTCTATAACCCGATCTTTAATTGTATCATGTATCCTAAAGAACCTGATCTCTACCTGTATCCCTGTATCCTTGAGAACCTGATCTCTACTTGTATCCTGTATCCTCAAGAACCTGGTCTATACATTTATCCTGTATCCTTAAGAACCTGACCTCTACTTGTATCCTGTATCCTTGGGAACCTGGTCTCCGCCTGTATCCTCATGAGAACCTGCGCTCTACCTGTATCCTTGAGAACCTGGTCTCTACCTGTGTCCTTGAGAACCTGAGCTGAAAACTTTAGAATGGAATATCCTTAATCCCGATCGGTTAATTAATCTGGAGATTAATAAGAAGAGGCGAACAAGCATTATTTAATCTAGGGATTAAGAAAAAGAGTGGATCAAGCATTAATCTTGATATCCACCATTCTAAAGTTTTCAGCTCAGGTCTCTACCTGCATTCTTGAGAACCTAGTCTCTACCTGTATTCTTGAGAACCTGGTCTCCACCTGTATCCTTGAGAACCTGGTGTCTACCTGTATCATCAGTATCCTTGAGAACCTGGTCTCCACCTGTATCCTTGAGAACCTGGTCTCTACCTGCATCAGCAGTATCCTTGAGAACCTGGACTCTACCTGTATCAGAAGTATCCTTAGGAACATGATCTCTACCTGCATTCTACATGTATCCTTGAGAACCTGATCTCTACCTGTAATCTGCATGTATCCTTGAGAACCTGATCTCTACCTGTAATCTGCATGTATCCTTGAGAACCTGATCTCTACCTGTAATCTGCATGTATCCTTGAGAACCTGAGTAAGTATTCCAGGACCGTTCCAACCCCAATTTGTTCCATCATATTCTTAAAAATTTTATCCATTATTAAGGAAAGCATTCAAACAAGGGCCTAAAATAATTGTATTCCTTTTTTTGTAAGAAAAATGTATATTGATTTAGCAATGCAATGTTTAAACAGCACATGGTTAGAACCTCTTTTAGTTCAAAAGATGTTTAAGCAATATATTTAGGGATCTAAGGACAATCTAAGAAAAGTCAAAAAAAATGAAAGAACTGTCGCCCTTCTCCTTTCGGAATATAATTTCTTTTTTAAGAAACATGCCGGACACTGTGTTTTAAAATGAAATAATATGGCAAACGTTGTTCCTCGCGCTTAAAGAGTATTTAAAAAAATTGGATTCACCTTTTTCAAGTCTGTGAACTATATTTTGAATAACTGGATGCTGTTTATAAAATCTGAAATATTGTAAATTAGGAAATATAGCTGATTAATCTTGAAATATGTATTCTAAACTAGAAAATAAAGATGCTTAATCTCGAAATATGTATTCTAAACTAGGAAATATAGATGCTTAATCTCGAAATATGTATTCTAAACTAGGAAATATAGCTGATTAATGTTGAAATATGTATTCTTAACAAGGAAATTTAGCTGATTTATCTTAAAATATGTATTCTAAGCCAGGAAATATGACAGATTAATCTTAAAGTATGTATTCTAAACTAAGAAATATAGCTGATTAATCTTGAAATATGTATTATAAACTAGGAAATGTAGCTGATTAATCTTGAAATATGTATTCTAAGCTAGGAAGTATGACTGATTAATCTTGAAATATGTAGTATAAACTAGGAAATGTAGCTGATTTATCTTGAAATATGTATTCTAAACTAGGAAATTTATGTGATTAATCTTGAAATATGTATTCTAAACTAGGAAATATAGCTGATTAATCTTGAAATATGTATGCTAAACTAGGATATATAGCTGATCAATCTTGAAATATGTATCTTAAACAAGGAAATATAACTTATTAATCTTGAAATATGTATTCTAAACTAGGAAATATAGCTGATTAATCTTGAAATATGTATTTTAAACTAGAAAATAAAGATGCTTAATCTCAAAATATGTATTCTAAACTAGAAAATAAAGATGCTTAATCTCGAAATATGTATTCTAAACTAGGAAATATAGATGCTTAATCTCGAAATATGTATTCTAAACTAGGAAATATAGCTGATTAATCTTGAAATATGTATTCTAAACTAGGAAATATAGCTGATTAATCTTGAAATATGTATTCTAAATTAGAAAATAGAGTTTTTAAATATAATTGATATTTAATAATCGAATTAATTACCTGAGAGCCCCTGCTCCAATTGTTCCTGTCTTGGAATACTCTATACCGGCAAAGTTAGTAAAGTTTGGTAGATTTCTTAAAGAAATTACGTCTGTATCTAGGTAGGTTCCTCCATATTCATAAAGGAGTAGATACCTGCAAATACATTAGCTTTACAATACGGAGGACTGATTTACAATTTTTATTTGATGGGGTTGATTAGAAAAAGATTTAGAGATAAATTTCAAGCTTAAACAACTTTTTCTTCAAAGTACATAAAGTAAAAAAAACTTTGTTTTACATGATCTGTGCTGAAAACTTTAGAATTGTGGATATAGAGATCAATGCACGATCTCTTCTTTTTTTTAATCTCAAGATTAATTTATTTTTAGTATATATCCTAGAAATTGTATAAAAATCAACCAATCAGAGTGTTGATTGCAGAATTCAAAAAGCCAATCAGAAGCCAAGAAATTTTGAAATTTTCCGCGCGTATTAAATGACAATTCATTTTTTGCAATGCAGTACGTCGGGAAATCCAAAAGAGAGGATTAAGCTTGAAATCAAAAGTTTCGACAGTGGATACCAAGATTCAGAAATCAGGATTAAGTGTATCCAATACAATAGTTTCAGGTTTGGGCCTAGAAATGTTAAGGTGGAAAGTGATCATGGGTGGGTTGTCAATTCTAGGTTTGGGGTAAAAAAATGTTGTTAACGAGAGGAGTGAAATAAGCAGGCATTCCCTCCCCAAAATATCTAATAGGATCATTCCTATTAGTCGCCTTTTGGGTAAGGAATATCTGCTTATTTCACTAATAAGTCTAGATCATAGATGTGGAATGGAAGGGGAATAAGGAGGAGAGTGCCAAGTTCAACTTCTTTTACCAGTCTCCCCCCCCGCACCCCTTCAAAATCTCGATTTATTTACCTGACTAAGTCACTAAGGTGACTGACCGGCCAGTTGCTGGACCTCAATTGTCCAGATTTCCAAATATTTCCTGTATAATTAATATATGTTTCCAATTTATTTTTATAATCAATTCATTTATGGTTATATGCAGTCATTTATGGTTATGTGTAGTCATTTATGGTTATATGTAGTCAGTTATGGTTATATGTAGTCATTTATGATTATTTGTAGTCATTTATGGTTATATGTAGTCATTTATGGTTGTAAGTAGTCATTTATGGTTACATATAGTCATTTATGATTATATGTAGTCATTTATGATAATATGTAATCATTTATGGTTATATGTAGTCACTTATGGTTATATGAAGTCATTTATGGTTATATCTAGTCAATTATTGTTATATGTAGTCATTTATGATTATATGTAGTCACTTATGGTTATATGCAGTCATTTATGGTTATATGTACTATGTAGTCCTTTATGAGTAAAACAAGTTTAATTTCCTTGAAAATTCATTTTGATTTAGGGGGTTGAAATCAAAAAGTTTAGCCAGCTAAAATTGTCTTCTAAAAAGTTTGTTTAGTAACCAATTATAAATAGTACTCCGAACAATTTCCAAGATACCAAAAAATATGCAATTGTGGAATATGCAATTGTGAAATATGCAATTGTGAAATATGCAATGCTTATTAAAAAATAAGGTGCACCAAAATTATATTTCCAAATAGTATGGAATTAAAAGATGTTTTACAAGCTAGGGTTTGATCATATGGTTAGAATACCAAGAAGGGTGTCATTAAAAATATAAGATTGAAAAAGGCCAAATTGTAAAAGGGTGTTTCATGATTAAGGTTAACTATACCAAGAAATGTTTCATAAAAACTAGCTATAACTTACGAAGAAAGGGATCGGGAAGAAGGTTTACATTTTAGGGGGTGTTTCATGGATAAGGTTAGAGGTTAGCAAGGAGTGTTTAGTAAAAAGCTTGAATTACCAAGGGGTGTTTCATGGATAAGGTTAGGTTAGCAAGGAGTGTTTAATAAAAAGCTAAAATTACCAAGGGGTGTTTCATGGAAAAAGTTGTCCAGATGTAGGTAACGAAAATGAATATTTGGATATTCTAGATTCCAAGGCAGATCTTCAAGTCTAAACAATTCGAAATTCATACAGATTTGTCTCAAACAGGAAAACTATTATTAATTTTTTTTGAGAATAAGATGTTCCATTACTCTGACTCTATTGGTCCGCATTTTTAAACATTTCAAAGCAATTAAACCTTGGAAGCTTCGGACCTTGCATGTTGTGTTTCCAAGAAATCCTATATTTAAATTGATTGAAAACTAAGATTAGAACCTGAAGAAAACAAAACAATTAAATTATATTAAAACAAAATTGACAATTTCTTTAGTGCATATATATTTTCTTATTTTCTACCTGGGGTTCGTGAGAAGAAAATAAATAATTTGGTTTGGATTATGAAGCGCAGCGCTCTCCAGTGCACACAACTCCCTTCCGGTCAACTTCACGCGACCTTAAGTAATAAAAGTAAGCACGCAATTATCATAAATCTTATAAAAGATTTGTAATCTATTTAAATAAGCTCTATACGCTCATACATACAGGGTGTCCCAAAAAACATTGCATGGATACTGAGGGAACAATTTTCGTTCAATTTTTTAAATCAAGGTAATTGTCAATAGAAAGCTCTATATTTTAGTTATTTTATGTTGTAAATTTATTTAAAATTAATAGTTTTTCTAAATAAAAAAAACATATTAATAGAGTTTTGTAATTTTTTAAATCATAATTGCTATTATATAGTCTAAGGTTTCTTTTTAAACTAAAATTTTTCATAAATGTTGAAGCTTGAGTAATCTGAAGACAAAATTAGCACAAATCTTGCCCAGTCCAAAATAATATATTTTTTCTTCAATTTTCTTTTTGAAATCAGTTGAAACAATAAACAGCTCGGCGGTAATTTTTTTTTTTAAACCATGCACTGTCCTTTATGAAACATATGTTTTTACCTAATAAACGATACCTTGGATGACTTGTGTTCTATAAGAAATTAGTTGAAAGGAATTGAGTCTTTGTCACAAATTAAGATTTTCTAATGACTATATTTTCGCAACCCAATGCCTTAAACCTTAGGTATTTCAAACTATGAATTCTGTGAGATTAAAGAATCTAAGTTTGAAATATCAAAGGTTTACACAATCAGGTGGAAAAAATATGGGTATTAGAAAATCAGAATTTGTTACAAAGACTCAATTCCTTTGAGAATGTTTTTCTACGTAAACAGTCCTTTAGAAGCCCTTCTTAAAATGGATCAATAAAAATTAAGGCGTAAAAATTGATTCTAAAGTAAAAATATTCTTAATTAAAGTGATGATTTTTTTAAAGATTTTTTTTCGCAATTTTAGATTCACAAAAATGTTTGATTTTTTCCCAGCTTTTTGTAAATTTTAAAAAGTTGATAATAGCACAACAATTTTTTTTGATTAAAAGTAAATGTAATTTTTGTATTCTTTGTCCGCGGATAATCTTCTCTTTTTATGTACTAAACAACTGAAAATAGAAAATACAACACAAAAAACTTACTTCCTAACTTACTTCCTAACTTACTTCCTAACTTACTTCCTAACTTACTTCCTAACTTACTTCCTAACTTACTTCCTAACTTACTTCCTAACTTACTTCCTAACTTTACAGGGTTACTCAAAAAGATTTAGAGTTAGAAAAGAATCTATGGAATTTATGCAGGGTATGCACTGGCAGGTATAAAACGTAAGTCAACCTTCAGATCGTCACATAGTTTTAGGTGGTCATTAAAGTTTCATAATTTGTGGTAATTGAGTAGAGTTTTAGGTGGTCATTAAAGTTCCATAATTAGTGGGTAACCCTGTACATATATATAGATATGTATGTACACAGTCTGGTTAATTCTATCCATATAAATAAATGTATATATGTGGCTGCATACTAGTGCATAGTTATTTTTAAAATTTTTGAACAATTGTATTTTTGGAGACTTTAGAGCCGACTCCACTGCAAAAAGTGTATTTTGGTATATCCCAGTAAATAACAATGTATTTCCACTGTAGATCGATTGATTTTTCATAAATAAATTGAATTATTTGTAAATTAACCTATTAATTAATGGTACTAAATTGTATTTAAATGATTTTAGCGTAGTAGACCAGATTCAGTGTGAATGCGACCATATTCACAAATGCGACATAATTTCAAATTGGCTCTTTATATACAAAGTTAGAAAACTGAGCTTTATCCTGCATGTTTTAAACCCTGAAAAACGAGAATGAAATTATGCTATCAAAAATAAAACTTCAGAATGATATCACATAATCATAATCTACTCAATACATTTCCATTTTGAAAAAGTTTTATTTCAACAAATCTTATATATAAAGATGTAATCTCTGTTTGTATTTATAACTCATGAACTCAAATTATGATTGGGGAACTCGGGAGAACCACGGAAACGGTCTTAGTTTGGTTTTGCGATTTTAAGATGAGTGTGTCCACTTTTACAAGGAAATCGTAATTTACGAACAATGAGCGGGTAAACGGCAGGAGTAAATATGAGTATCCCATGGACAACACTGGTTTCTCAAACTAATATTAAATATATTTAAATTTAAAATGTTTTATCTTTGTATATATTGTATATCTGGAGCAAGGTTTTATAGGAAGTTTGGGTATTCTCGATGCGATCCAATGTACGGAAAATGTCGTCTCCTAAGATATAAAAACCTCATATGACGTCACTCTCGCCTCTATAATCATGGACGTCATATGATATTTTTATCTATCTATCTTAGGAGACGACATTTTCCGTATATTGGAACTAACCTTATTTTACAACCTTGATCTGGAGTATAGCAAGCTAAGAGATTGGCTCCTCTGCTGTTGAGTTCTGACACTTCAATATCGGTTTTATCGGTTAATTCTATGTTAAAAGCAATGAGGTTAAGGATAAGAAGGAAATAGAATCAGAGGCTAACCCCCCCCCCCCCACTTCTTCTCATCTAATCTCGTCTTAATTTGTAAAAATGTGTTTTTATAAAACAGGGGCGGATACAGGGTGGTGGCGGGGGGACATTCGCCACCCCCTGACAGATTTCGAGGCAAAAAATGTTCCCAATTTTATAAATCGTATGTGTTTTTCAATTTCAAGCTTTTTTTATTTTATGGAAATCTTGACTTTCTTTTCTTCAGTTTAATTTAAAAATCACCGACAACAAGTAAATGTTATTGTTAACGATAAAATTAGAATTAGAAATTTGTAAGAAACTAGACTTAAGTTATAATATTGTTCATATCTAGTAATGATCCTTAATCAATACTCATTTATCAAAATTGTAATATTGGTCCTAATTTTGATGCATTTAAGTATAACTAGTAATTTCTTTTTGTTTTTAAATTGCTAATGATCCTATTATTGTTCCTGTTCCTAATACTGTGTCCGACCCAACCTAAATCCCTGTCCTAATCCAATATTTTTGTTCCTAATTCCTGAACAATCTTTTTATTGTTCCTAAATCCCTGTCCGAATCCTTTAATTTTGTTCCTAATTCCTGAACAATCTTTTAATTGTTCCTAAATTCCTGTTCTAATTCGTTAATTTTGTTCCTTAAAGTTAAAAATCTATTTTTTTAGTCTTTAGTCATTAATTTTGACTCTTTTTGAGTCTTTTAAGTCAAAAAAAAATTTCGCCTGCGGCACGATTTTTTGTTCCTAATTATTAATTTTTTTGTTCCTAAAAAATCTTGCCCCCCCCCTCACTTAAATCCTGTATCCGCCCCTGTTATAAAAGAAAACTTGTGTTCACATCTATTTGGTTAGATAACTTTATAAATTCAGATATTTAAAGAAATTAAATAATTTAAAATAAATAGGTTGCAATAGAATTGAACCACGCTTCACTAAACAGAAGAGGAAGGAACGAGTGTGTGACCTCGGAGCTCCTATAGTTTTGATGTTACGCACAAGTATAAGAAAAGCACATTTCGTTGGTTAGATACTCTAAATAGCTTTTTAATAACAGAAATTCGGATTCAAAACATATAAGATTTCTGATCTTTGTAAGGTTTGGTGATTGTCAAAACTATTTTTTCGCGGTAATAATAGATATTTATAAAACTTCTAAATTGAATAAAATAACCAAGGTCTAGTTTGTTTCTAAAGAGACGATTAGTTTTAGAAAATATGTATTTCTGTGTAATGTTGTTATATTTTGTTTAATTATGGTTTTTGAAGAAAAGATTAATTTTAGAAAATATTTTATTTTTTAAACAAAATAATATTGTTACATTTTGTGGAATGCTTTTTCATATTTTTCAATTTAAAACATGAATACAGCAAAAATAAAGTGTGTAAACCAAAGCTAATCCTGTTTTTGTGTCTCACCCTAGCACGTGGATTTAACGGTTCTGTCAATATATTAGAAAGCTGTTGCTTTCGATCACAATTTGACCCTTTAGACATCATTTTTTTAGCCTTCTTTCTTACATACTTTTTTGTCGGCATATACATTTGAATGAAAAAGTATAAAATAAACAAATCCGTAAGGTAAAAGATTGTTGAATTATAGACCAAAACACATTTGATTTCAAATTGAGGAAACCAAATGCTGCTCACTCTGGTTAGTCCAGTATGCCCAGAATATATATTTGTTGTCGCTAAGGCACAAGATTCTGACGATGAACAGATAGACAAGGTATAACCCACAAATCAAAATCGCTAATGCAGAAAACTCTTTATTTCCTAAAAAAATAATGAAATGAATAATGATAAATAATTATTACAGGGTTTACAAATTTATAATGAAAAGATTCTTACGATCTATTTTCCTATTCGGGGGTTATCTGTCGAAAAGTCCAAAGACGCTTTTTATACATTAAAACTTCTGAAAAGATTAACAATTAAATGTTGATGAAAGTCACTAATTCTTTAAATAGAAATGTTTTTGTTTAACTTTGAAATGGTTCACAATTGATAAACGTTTATACTCCGTTATCGGAGAACAAAGAAGAAAAGCGGGCTGAAATTGTTTGGTTTGGATTCTTGTCTCTGAGAGGAGCATTTAAGTTGAAGACGACATTACATAAACTGCGGGGGGGGGGGGTCTTAATGTTAATGGTTGACAATATTCTTATGACTCACCCTGTATATGTTTTTAATTTTCCCGATGCCGCTTGATTTGGGTAGTGCGTATATATAATTGTGATGAATTTTAAGGTTTCCTTGTTCCATTAATAATGAATGGTCTCTTCTTTAAATATTGTCCAGTTTCAATTAGTCTAAACTTCGATATCTGTTTAGAACAGATTTGAAAATATCCATATTTTGACTAGATTGACATTGACCATGGCTTGACACTGAAAATAATAAGATTGATCGATTCTAAAATTTGAAATTAGAATTTGTTGACTATTAGCAGATTGCGCATTACAACTAACTATGTTCAATAATTGTGCTTAGTTATATGCATGACACGATAGATTTTTTTCTGTCATGTGAATTACATTTTTAACGAAGCCATTATTATCATAATATAATATAAAGGGACAGTGCAAAGTTTAATTGTTGCAAATACATTGTTTTCTCGACAATGACCCTTTTTTAACGATATGAAGTCTTTACCACATTCTCTGATGTATCTTTGAAACCTAATGTCGCAGACCTTTGTTGTTTCAAACTATGAATTATGTTAGATCAAAAAGTCTAAGTTTGATATATCAAAGGTTTACACCATCAGGTTGAAAAGATATATGGATTAGAAAAATTGAGTATGTTGCAATAACTCTATACCTTTGGTTAAAAGATTGGTTAGAACGCATTTAAACATCGGAAAGTTGCGTTTATGCCATTAATAATATTAGTTAAGTTACCACTAGTTTCCACCATCCAGATAGGTAGTTCTCTAGGTAGTAGTTCAGGTACAGGTTGACCGGCCAGGTGTAGCTGGACTAGAGGGAAAGCTAAGGAGCAGGGTAGCTTCTCCCTATAAACGATGTTTTGGTCAGAGATACTGAAGTTGTTAAACAAAATTAAACTTTTTGAACGTGTTATCTTTAGTAATTGCTCTGTCTGTCTAATGTTTGATTGTCAGATCATAACTCAGGAGCCCCTGGATCGATTTGCCTCAAATTTGTATAGGGCCGGAACTAGGAAGAACTATGGGAGTGTTCTGAGCTTGGTTTTAAAGTTTTAAGTTGAGTGAGTTGACTTTTATACAAGAAGATTAGTTTCCAAGCTTAAAGAAAACTATTGTGTGAGAACATCTCTTTGCAATAATTGCAAAACCTTTTGTAATCTTTAACTTTCAATCTCAAAAGAAATGATTAGCTATTAAGTTTCCAAGCAAAGCTGGGTTCCCAAGCTAGTAGTTAATGAACAACAAACTAAAAGAGACATTTATGAAATTGAATAAATGATAACTGATATTTTTTCAGAATTTTCTTATAGTGATTTAATTTAAATAAACTAAAATTCTTTTTTACAGAAAAGAACATGCTTATAATCTATACACCATAGGAAAATTCCGTAAACTCCGGGAATGTGCACAATTTTCTGAAAAAATATAAAATGCACAAAAAAGATTTTTTTCTCAAACCTGCCGAAAATGTTCTCATCAAAAACAAACTTGACCAAAACCAATTTTTAGGGTGAAAAATAACGGTAAATATGTCCAACCTTTCCTCTGCCCGACCCTTACCTAATCTCCGTGCACTTGAGGTACAGAACTGAAAAAAAATATCAATTTAAATCCAGCCCCGGCTTCAAGTATAATCAATCAATCAGAATTCCAATAACAGACTTTCCCCATATAACAGTCCTTCTCAATTTATTCTTTTACTGAATAAGACATATGATACAGGATACAGGATATAGGATACATGGAGGATACAGGATACAGGATACAAGCTACAGGATACAGGATACATGATACATGATACAGGATACAGGATATAGGATACAGGAGGATACAGGATACAGGATACAAGCTACAGGATACAGGATACAGGATACAGGATACAGGATACAGGATATAGGATACAGGATACAGGATACAGGATATAGGATACAGGATACAGAATATTGGATTCAGGATACAGGATACAGGATACAGGATACAGAATAAAGGATACAGGATATAGGATACATGATACAGGACACAGGATACAGGATACAGAATATAGGATACAGGATACAGGACACAGGATATAGGATACAGGATACAGAATATAGGATACAGGATAAAGGATACAGGATAAAGGATACAGGATACAGGATACAGGATACAGGATACAGGATACAGGATACAGGATATAGGATACAGGATATAGGATACAGAATACAGGATACAGGATACAGGATACAGGATACAGGATACAGGATACAGGATACAGGATACAGGATACAGGATACAGGATACAGGATACAGGATACAGGATACAGAATATAGGATACAGGATACAGGATACAGGATACAGGATATAGGATACAGGATACAGGGCACAGAATATAGGATACAGGATACAGGATATATGACACAGAATACAGGATACAGGATACAGGATACAGGATACAGGATACAGGATACAGGATACAAGATACAGGATACAGGATACAGGATACAGGATACAGGATACAGGATACAGGATACAGGATACAGGATACAAGATACAGGATACAGAATATAGGATACAGGATACAGGATACAGGATACTATATACAATATACATGATAAAGAATACAGGAAACAGGATACATGATACAGGAAATAAGATATAGGATACAGGATACAGGGTTAAGAGTGCAGAGCTGAAAACTTTAGAATGGAATATCCTTAATCTCTATCGGTTCATTAATCTGGAGATTAATAACAAGAGGAGAACAAGCCATATTTAATCTGGAGATTGAGAAAAAGAGGAGATTGATCTCGATATCCGCCATTTTAAAGTTTTCAGCTCTGAAAACAGAAATCAAAGTACAAAATACAATAAACGATATACGGAATTAATACATCATTAAGCAGGAAATAGAATACAGAGCTCAGAGTCAGAATAATAATAGACACTACAGAATATAGGTTGCAGAGTACTAAAACAAAATACATATTAAATAATACAGAATACATGATACAATACACACAGTACGGAATACAGAATACAGAACACATAGCCGGAAACAGTATTCTGAATACATTATTTCTTATAACATTTATTTGATTTTGAAATATGAAATTAGAAAATAAATCTGAACCTGTTGTGAAAAGTATTATTATTATAATCAGGTAACTAGTGTCCTTGAATGTAAGTTGTCGTCTTTTCCACATTATTTCATTGTACTGTGTCAATCATTCCAGTTTTCTTTTAAAAGGGATAAACGATAATTAGATCAAAATTAGTGCGAATTAAACATAATTTAATCAACAGTGTTTACTTAAAGTGTCCCTCCATGCACTCCATCATCCAAACATAACGATTTACAACGGTACGGGCACCAATATCTGCGAAAGCGACTTGCGCATTTCTTGCTTAGAAGAAGAAATGGATAAATTATAAGAATTTAACACTTTTACTGTCAGAAAAACGACAGTATCTTATAAATTCTTTTTATAAGATGAAGGTTTCAAGGGTACCGTTGTAAATCGAGCATTTTAATCACTTGAAATTGCGCGCGCGTGTAGCTTCAGCTTTGGGTTAATTGTACATTTACAGGGAAATATCTATATTTTAAAACCAAATATATACGGATATACGGAGCTAAGTATTATCTATGTATTGGAGTATATACATGTACTGTGTATATAGTTTAACCATGTGTAAGATTAATTAACCTATGTATGTAACGAATGTAACTATCTGAATGAACAATGAAGAACTGCAATAAATGACTATATATATATATCTATTCTTTAAATATATATGTTTATATATATATATAGAATATAGGTTTATGTCAATATGCTTATCAACTATACCTACACGCTGGAGTCGCTGGAGTACAGCTCTATTCTTATCTAACCTATAGAAAGAGAGTGTTCACGGATTTAACGAACATAGCGAGGTGAGAGTAAAATCAGGACTGTTACTGGGTAAACGCTGTGAACAAAGCGGTGGATTCCAGGGAGGGAGATTGTCTTCAGATTGTTTTTGAATTTTGATGATATTTTACTTTTGATATTGTTTTTCTTATGTTTATTTGAAGATTTATCTTAAAACTGACTTTTTCTATAAGGTACTGCAGATAAACCCTAAATAAGCCATGCATCGCAATAATTCATCAAATTTCGTATTCTTCCCTATCTGATAATGGAATGTTGTGGATATTTAGTTTTTTAATTAAATGATTATATGGAGCTCTTTAAAACTGTTCCCGTATATATTTTTATTTATTTTTGCAAATACTAAGATTTACATAAAATACAGAGTGTCCCAGGAAGCATGACAGTTGGTGAACAGTTTTAAATGTCTTCTTCCATAATTTGTTAAGTTCTTTAATACCAAAGAGAATAATAAAAACATGGCTTGTTAGTCTTTTTATAATAAAGTTGATTTCAAAGCAAATTATAATTGAGTAAAAGATTTTTTAGCAAAATAAGCTGCAAAGTATTTAATATATAATACTTGATATGGAAGAAGACATTGAAAACTATTCACCCTGTAGTATAAAACCCATTGAAAAATTGTCAAGACGACATTTGAAAAATTCTTTCGATGTATGGCTCATTTAGGGTAAAACTGTATAAGAATTTGAAAACGAATAAAGCTTATAGGTAGAACATTTTTATAAGTTTATTATTAAAACTGATCATGTAAACTGAAATAATGGATGATAGCTCACAAAAAAAATAGTTTTAAGTTTATAATTCAAAGAGGTGGACGTGGTGAACGGTGGGGGTATTTTAGGGGGTCAGGAAGGGTGGTGACTAGTTTTTGTCACAATACTCCTCTTAAAATGCATTTGTTTTGTGTTTCATGGTGAGAATGGACAAAATGAAAATATTCTAGTAATCTTTTCATTTACAAACATTGCATCGTTATAGCTTGCATTGATTTATAATGATTTCAATTTTTAATTACTTTTCCTGTTCCTTGAATGGATCCTGTAAACCCGCAATATATTTAGATATCGTCTTTGTGAGTGAGCTGAGCTATTTTGGGGTAAAAAATATATATACTTAACAAGTGATTCAGGATAACCTAGATATATAAATAGATTCTAACAACCATTAATCAAAGGTGTAGGGGCGCCACACGCCAGCTCAAGTATTGGTTAGGGCTCTGATTTGTCAATAAGATACCCATTTTAAGAGTTTTCACACAATTACCAGTTTTCCATCATACTTCAGAACTTAAACATAAAATTACGATGACTTAGAGAATAGAGACTTCTCTAAAAAACTACTCATGCGACCGGCCTTATTTGACTCGATTAAGAGGTTTATGGTGTAAACTCAATATTGCTAATAACCCTCTGATACCCTATTGTGTGGTGAAGGAGGGAAGGCAACCTCCCCCGCACAGCATCCGAATCTAATTTTACCTATTTGCTGCATGCAGTGCTCTTCCCCATATAAGGCTTCTGAACCTCCCCCAAACAGTCTTCCGAGAATGATTTTCCATTTATAATAGTCAATTTCTACTTAAACCGGGACTATATAAATTCGATAATTTCAGCACGGTAGTCAATCTATAGTATCCTTAACATTTGCATAATATATATATATATATATATATTTTTTACAATCAAAGATCTGGCTTGAAAAAACGAAAACTTTGACTACCGCGCTTAAATTATCGAATTAGTCCTGTTTTAAGTAGAAATGGACGATTATAAATGGAAAATCATCTGGAAGACTGTTTGGGGGAGGTTTGGAAGTCCTGTGGGGATGCGTACTGCCGCAAATATAGGTAGAATTAGGTTCCGAAGTTGTGCAGGGGAGGTTGCCTTCCCTCCCTCGTGTGGCTTCTCCAGACATGAATATTTTCTTCTGGACTACTACGTGTGATGAAGTTCTAAAATCTGACGGAAAACTGGTCATTTCCGTGAAAACTCTTTAATTAATTATTTTACACACGAATCAGAGACTAAAAAAGAAACTATGGGCACACAATTGAGACGCTTCCAATTACTTATAAAGGTTTGTTAGAATCTCATAATATCTAGATTTTACTAAATCCGTTGTAATTTCTTGTAAAAAAACTATAAAGTATATGTTTTAATCGCAATTTTTACGTCTCTTTGTAACTTCTTGTTTCACCACTAATTCAAATAAATTAGAATTCAGTCGATCATTATTCATTCATTGTTCAATTGATATTTTGCGGTAATGTTACATCGTCTATACGCAACATCCCCCCTACTGAACTTCCGACCTACTAACTTTCCGTCCTACTGCAATATCGGATCTACGCCAGCTGTTTATTTTTAGTATTATTTGAGGGTTGGGTTAGGTTAAGACAATTTCTGGGCCGAGCGCTGCGGCTAGGACAGGCTAGGGGGCCAGGCGCTGCGGCCACAAGTCCATAAAGCAGCTGTAATACCACGTGCTAAGTAGGTTGGATGTGTAGTATAGCGGATTTGGCGAAGGTCACAAGTGGAGTATGGCGGATATGTGTAGGTCGAAAAATACACCACCTACTTTCCACGGTAACGAATGTCGCCTTTTCTTTAGTCGTCTTTAATATATCAACGGGAGTAAAACTTTCCTAAAATTTATACAAATTTATTATTATATCATAAAAGTGAATTGTTCTGGACACATTAATAACAAAAATACTTATGCATGATGCATACAATTGGAATAATTAACGGGTTTAACGCCTGCAGATCATGCAGCATGGATTGTTTGTACAAGGATCCTCTTTAATAAAGATTTAAAAGTGGTAGAAAAAAATTAACACTCCACAAAATATTTTCCTGCGAATATAGATCGAGCTTAAAGTTGTTTTTAAATTTGTTGAATAAAACATTTTTTACGAAGAATAATTATTCCTGTTTTCCGAACTTGGAAAACCGACCACCGAGGCAACGGCCATGCAATCTGTGTTACTCGCGAATGCCGCAATGAATTATAAGACAGAGAGAGAGCCAGTTCTAGCCGGGCGCTCGGCTCCCTAGCCTGTCCTAGCCGCAGCGCACGGCCCCCTAGCCTGTCCTTGCCGCAATTTGTGCAGCCCAGAAAGTGTCTAAACCTTAACTAACCCTAAAGTACATAGTTTATGTATGCCAAAGACTTTAATTCATAGAGAATAGAATATATAGAGAGGAATTTACTAGAAAAAAGTGTAAAACGGCCATTTTGTTGTACTGTTTCCATACTGCAGGTGTACTTCACATATTTATGCTATATAACCTGTTGGGCCCTGGAATGTCATTTTATAGAAAATCTAAAATTATTGTTAAAAGAAAACCAAATAATGAAATAGGCTGGTTTCATAATTGACCAATGATCATTTCACATAGACTCTATGCCTTCCACTTTACAAACGATGATTTTCCGTTATAACTATAAATCAAATGATGTTTTTATTCACCTAATTCATTATAACGTTTATTTAACAGCTTAAAAAATTTCGAAATTGAAATGAATAGTCTAGGGAACATACTGTATTAATGTACTCTACTGCATATAATTTGTGAACATTTACATGATTTGTACACTTTGAACTCCCTTTCAGGCTGAAAGAGACTGAAAATATTCATACCGAGAGATTCTTTTAATTCCTCTCTTTATATTCTATTTTCTATACTTTAATTATTTGACATTGTGAATGTTTTGTGCTAAAAGAAAGTAACTAAAATTATGGTATAAATTTGTATTTTAAAATTTATTTAATCATTGGTTGGATGAGGGAGGGAGTCCAGAGTTCCTCAAATAGTAATCAACGCCACCCAAATCTGTTTTGCGGCAAGCACGCTCCTCAATTGGTAATCTCCACCACCTCAAATATTAATCAGCCCAAAAAAGCATAAAATTAAATCGTTTATTTCTTAGAAATAAGACCATATTGACCTCTTTTAATGGCCCTATGGTGTACAATATTGTTAAAGCTTTCTTTATTGCTCCTTAGTTTCGAAAATAAATCAATAAATATGCCACACTAAGTGCTAGAAATATATTACGTTTTTTAGTTTCAAGTTTCGCTCTAAGAATGTTTGCGGCATTTTCCTCTGAATGTTGTTTTAAACTCCTTATATAGAGAGGAAACTTTAACCCATTATTAGTGGACTAAATACTTCATTTTCAGTAGTTGATGTGATGAGACTAATTTTATGTTCTTTCTATGCATATAATTAGTTTTGTTGTAGATGTTGAACTCGAGTTGGCGAATACAAAAATCTAAACACTGTAAAGGTTTTTTGAAAATATCTTTTAAATGGAGATTGATATTACTTTGGGCGCGATGAGATAATTTTTAGTTAATAAGCAGCCCGACCTTTTTTGTATCTTGACGCCAATCATGAAATGCAGTCATTAAAGTGGCGAATTGGATCTAAGATTCGGCTAAAATGAACTGTGCCTTGATTCTCAGTTTTTGTTGACCAAACAAATCTGAAAATAATTTGAAAATTTAGTTTAAGTCAATACAGATGCCATCAAACCCCAATAGATGTCGAAAATTGTGTTAAAAGTGCATTAAATTCAAATCACAGAAAACAAAATTTTACGGTGATTACTAATTGAGGTGGTGGAGATTACCAATTGAGGAGCGTGCTTGCCGCAAAACAGATTTGGGTGGCGTTGATTACTATTTGAGGAACTCTGGACTCCCTCCCTCGTTGGATATGAGGATCGTCTGGTGAATTATAGCTGAATTTCTGATAAAATTACGCATACCTTTAGTATAAAAAATAGCCAATAATTGTAAGTGAACATTTTCAGATGTTGTCAAATATTCTTTCTGAGACTCTATGGAATGGGATTTTGGTGATGAAGAAGAAAGGGGACCAGAATTTTCAAATATTTTAAATGGTAAATTAATTTTGTATAAATGTCGTCTGCTGTTTAATCTTAAGCAAAGAAATGATATTTCGCATAAATTAATGTATTAATCTTACTCTTCAATTGATTTATGAGGATTTTGTTTCAAAAATATCCACCAGTTAAGAAAAAAATACCCAGAAAGTTTCATTCAAAATGGAAATTAAAGGGCGACTTTTTTACTTAAAAGTCTTTTAAAGTTGATTACAAAAGGTTTGAGGCATGAATTATTCCCAAGTAACAATTTTGCAGAAAATCCGCGGAATTTCCCAGGAATCTTTCCTGGGAATCCGCGGAAATTCCCAGGAATCTTTCACAGGAAAATCCGGTGAAAATGTCGACAGCTTTTCCCAGGAATTTCTCGTTACCAATTCCGAGGAACCAGGTCCGAGGAATTTCTTGTAACCCATTCCGTGGAAATTCTCGTAACTCTTTCCAAGGAATTTCTTGTAACCAATTCTAGGGAATTTCTTGTTACCAATTCTTCAGAAAAACCAGAGAAAATTTGTAGCAAAAAGGTCTTCAGAACCAATTCCTGGGAATTTCCCTGGAACTATTCCCAAGATTTTCTCAAGAATTCCTCAGGAATATTCACTAACAAAAGTAGTGAATAACTTAACAACTATATTCCAACTTTTTAGAGGTATAACCATCTTCTTAAGTCAGAATGTTATAGTCGTTTTTGATCTTACTGAAGTTGTCATGTATTTTGTTTATTCAGACAAGTGAATTGTCAAGAAAAAATTAAAAAAAATGTTTTAAAATTTTTAAATATTTTTTTAAAAGATGGTTCTGAAGTAAATTATCATTTTTTATCAATAAGGATACAAAGAAAAAAAGATTTAGTTTGAGCAGTGCATAAAAGAAGAGAACCTCAGAGACACCTATTGGTGAAAAACGGAACTTAAAAATTCTGTGAGGAAGTCCTTAGAATTTCTCAGGAATTTCCGGAGAAATATTTCTGAGAAATTCTTAGGAATTTCGTGAGAAAAATTCCTGAGAAATTCTCAGGAATTTCTCGAAACTTATTCTCTTATCTAATTCCCAAAAAATCCGTAAACTTGGTGACCAAGTTTTAAGAATTTCTCAGGAATTTCCGGAGAAGCATTCTGGAGAATTTCTCAGGAATTTCTTGGTGTGAAATTCCAGAGAAATTCCCAGGAATTTCTTGAAACTAATTCTTTTATTAAATTCCCCTTAAAATCCCTAAATATGATGACCAAGTCCTAATAATTTCGCAGGAATTTCCTAAGAAGTAGTCAGGAGAATTTCTCAGGAATTTCTTGGGGTGAAATTCCGGAGAAATTCCCAGGAATTTCTCGAAACTAATTCTCTTAATAAATTCTCTGAAAAATCCGTAAACATGGTGACAAAGTCCTAAGAATTTCTCAGGAATTTCTAGAGAATATTTCTGAAGAAATTCTGAGGAATTTTGTGGGGAAAAATTCCGGAGAATTTCTCAGGAATTTCTTGAAACTGAGTCTCAAAACTGTGATCCCACAAAAATCTCTAATCTTGGGGACCAATTCTCAAGAAATTCCTCGGAAATTCCTCAAAGAAAGTCACCACGGTTGGTGAATCTGGGGAAATTCCTCACTTTTGTTACTTGGGTTGGAGGATTTTAAAAAGGTGGAATAAAGAAATAAATAGGTGAAAAATAAAACTGGGGAATGTAAAGACGACTTTTAGACTCATTTTTTGATTAAATAGTTCAATGAACATAAAATACTGCAATTGAGCAGTGAACATGCAGATTGTCTAAATTTTGTCTTCAAATTTTGGAGTTTCATGTATACAAATTCATTGAATAATTCTGATAAATTCAGGTTTGTCATTGCCACTGCCAAGCAAAGTAACATATATGATACCCAACTGCCAAGCCAACCAAAAATAGGAGAGTCTGAATTTACAATACCAGCAAATCCAAAAAGAAAAAAGTTTTGATGAAGGCTCTTTAATTGGTTCATATGAATTCCTTACGTTTAAAGATCCTTTAGTGTGTAAAAACTAGCTGTTAAATAAATATTATGTCATTATATTTTTCAATAATTCATTTAAATCAGGTAGAGAGAGAATTCAATCTTGAATGAAAAAGTAATGAGTTAATTGATCACTGTTACTTGCCAAAAAATATGAGACCTTAATTTTCTCCTTATAAACACTTCACATACTTCAAACCAAAAGTAAATGTTACAAGGGACTGATAGATGTAATGTAATCTCAAGTTACCAACCCATTAAAGGTCCTATCAACAACAATACCAATTAAACATTTATCTGAGTAACAATATGGATGGTATCGTTATTATTTCATCTTAAAAAGTGATGAATGGACTATGGACAAATTGAATCCATTACAAAAGACAACATTATGAAACGTCATGACAGGCCACGTCAAACTAAAGTAAAATGCACATAAGATTGTAATTTTATATGTTTTTATCATAACTCCATTAATTAAAGAGCTATTGAGAAGATCAAAAATGTTTTGATTTCATAATATATAACCAAATAAATTGTCTTTTCTTCACATATGTGTATTAAATATGAACTAGAGGAGCAAGGGTGTCACAAAGTTGTATCAGTAATGACAATTGAATTTGACCTTCCCTTCTGGTTAGTTTACAGGAGGCAAAATATATACCGGATTTCTGGAGAAGACGACATTAGTTACTATCAATTTGTCTATACCGAGAAAATGCGTCGAATTTGCGTAGATTTTCTGATGCGCTATCTTTAATTAGCAAAGTCTTTGATATATACTAATCTCTCTCTCCTTATAATTCGATGCGGCATTTGCGAGTAATAGAGTTTGGCCGCTACCCACCACCGACCGTTCCGACCTTCCCGACCGATCCTACCTAGCAATTGACGCAGAGAACTGTCAAGAGAAGAGAAGGGAATAGAGTTCAAAATATTTGGACCTTTCTAAAATATCAAAAAATAAGTTTTAAACATTTTTTTGAAATAATTAATTAAAGATGAAACTATATATAATTTAATTTATTTGTTTTATTATGGTCAACAAACTTTCCGTACTATGCGTCTAACAGAGCCAGACGGCTGGCTCTCCCCCCCAACACAATTCCCTACAGTCGCCATATTGAATTTTTATTTTCAACAAAACAAAGGGACGGTCAAACTCAGTTCATCATTGAAACAGTCTAAATACGCTAAATTAGGTGAATTTTAACAAGTCAAAGCTGCAGTATAGACCCCGTGAATCAAGCTTAGATATGTGCGTGCAGGAAAAACAAAGAATTCAAGAAGAAGAAAAAATGGAGAAAACCGTATTTTTCAAGTCAATAACGAGTGATTCAATACTAAAGACAATCTTGAAGCGTGAGACGCGGGACACGTTTATAAAAGCCTAATTTAGACCTAGATTTTAAATTTAACTTATTTATTGTATAATTGATAAAAAAGATAATTCTAATAATTCGAGACTGAATTCAAAAAGAAGAAAGTAGAAGTAAAAAGAAAAATGAAGCTTTTAGAGAATTCTGGGATAGAAGCCATCAATAATCTTCTCTGTCTGGAGACTGGGGATTCAAAGATCGTTGGAAGGTAGAGAAATTTTGATTAGTTAAATCGGTTGTTACACGGTAATTTCCTAGAGAACGGTTTTTGGACCCTAGCCTGTCCTAGCCGTGGTGCTCAGCCCCCTAGCTAGTCCTGGCCGCAGCGCTCAGCCAAATTATTGTCTTAACCTAACCTTAAAATAATAAATATTGTTCTCTAGGACGGACCCCATACTTAATTTGTTTGAATCTACTCGCTAAATATTTGAATTTTGGTTCGAAAAAATCGATAGAAAGCTTATTGAAATTACTCGCTAAAAAGTTGAATTTTGGTTCGAAACTACTCAATAAAAATAGGTAGATCCATCTCTTTTGGTTCAAAACCCCGTTAAAAAGTTTCATCCTGCTCTATTTGTCCGAAACTAGTCGATAAATAGGATGATTCTTCTCTGTTGGTTCGAAACTACTCGATAGATAGTTAAATCATATTATATTGTTTCGAAACAACTCGATAAATATGTCGATCCTACTCTATTGGATCGAAATTACTGAACGAATAGGTTGATTATTTTCTATTGGTTCGAAAATACTCTACATTTTAATCATAGTATTTTGCTTGGAAACTATTCGATAAATAGTGTAAGCATACTCTATTGCTTCAAAATTACGCCATATCAAGGTTGATTCCTCTGCAAAAAAATTTTTATTAATCTTTATCTGAACAAATAGTAAATGTATTAAAAAATTTGTGTTTGCAGGATTGAGAGTTACTCCTGCAAGATGATCGGAGCAGAGAAACAACAATATAAAAAGTTCTCTGTTGGACGGGATCCACAAGCTGTAGAAGCCCTGTCTCCTCCTACTAATGGATACGGTGGATACGCTTTCTCAACCTCGCCGGTAAGTCGATCCTACTCCCGGAGCTCCGGGTCGGAGGATGAGGGTGTTGGGATTCTCTGTGATACGATTGCCAGGAAAACCCTGTTCCATCTTATCTCAACCCTCAACGCTGCGTTCCCAGATTATGATTTCACCGACGCGAGATCATCTGAGTTCACAAAGGAACCAAATCTTCAGGTATTATTTTGCTTTTTATGCTGAACCTAGACCGAGGGAAATTTTATTTTCATGTTTGAAATATTTTTATTTTTATTAAGAATTCCCCGAGGGGGGGTGGTGAGTATTTTTGATGATTTGTGGAGGGGTGAAATTGACATCAAAAGGCATGTTCTTTCCATTTTTTATATTTTATTTTCCCTTAAAATCATTTATTTTATACATAATACAATAATGTGCTTTCCGGGGCTTATTTTTACTTTTTTATTTTTTTTAAAGATATTAGTTTAATTTTGAAGATACACTTTCAATTTGTGAGAGGAAAATAGTTTAATATATTTTGTAGGCACTGCAGGTCTATATATTTTATATGAACAGATCAAGTTACGAACATTCTTTTTCATGATCATAACACGCAGATTTAACGGTGCTGTCCTTATCCCAGAGAACTATGACTTTCGAACACAACTTGAACTAAAAAACATAATTTGTTCGCCTTTTCTCTTTTATACTTTTATTGTCGTTATATGCGTTTTAAACGATAGAGTATTCTAAGACAACTCCGTAAGTTTAAAGATTGTTGAATTAAGAGAAACATGTGATTAATTACGAATAGAAGAATATATCTCGTCCTGGTTGATCCGGAGTGCTTCTCAACAAAATAATTCTTACATTTTTAAAATACGTTTTTGTTTTAGTTTGTGACGAGCAACGTGGACAATTTACTGAGTGTTGCTGCGAGCTCCCTCTACAGTAAGATCCACGACAAGCTGTGGATAACTCTGAACCAGGAGATTAATCTCGTAGATTGTGAGATCTACTCATACAACCCAGATCTTACATCAGATCCATTCGGAGAAGAAGGTTCCTTGTGGAGCTTCAACTACTTCTTCTTCAACAAGAAGCTGAAGAGGGTGGTTCTGTTCACCTGTAGGGCACTCTCTCCCTATAGCCAGGTATGTCGAGAACATTCTTCAACCTTCTAGTTCTTTTCAACTCTTCTTTTTATTAAATTATCTTGCATCGTCTTCTATTCTTTCTTCCCTTTTTAATATGTTTATATTAAGAACTTTTTACAAAGAAAAAAAGAATCCTTACCATAAACTTCTGGGAGTTTTACCCAATTACAGAGTTTTAAAATAGAATTAGTTTACAATTAATTAGACGACTTTAAAATCTAATTTTACAAATATGATTAATGAAACGATAATAAAAAAAATAGCCCTAGTCCTGCCAATTCCAAAATGGGATCTGCCTTTGTTGTTTGTTTAAAATTACCAGAGATTTATATGTAAAGTTGTCTGATTAACTATTAATTAACTCCGGGTCTTTCTGGTTATGACTATAGCATGAATTTGTTCAGGAGTACTATGAGACTGGGATGAGTTGTGAGGAGGATATGGAGTATTCTTACTAATCCTGGCTCCTGGATCCGTCACAGATCCACCCATCCATCCTAGGCATCTATATACCCCGTCTAGGGATAACACAAAGCACATTCATATATTCTCCTGTATATATTGTAATTATATAGTATTAGAACTCTTCCTCCAGTCCAGGACGCAAAAAATATGATTTGTGTTTGATGTTAATCTTTAACTTTAATCCGTTCTTATTTTAAGCTCTGTCTGGCCTGGAGAAAAGGTTGAAAATGTTGTATGGAGCTTGGTTTTATTTAGATTTTTTTTTGTCATATTCATGCAGAACGAATGCAATCCTGGAGAGCTGATAGCACTCTAGGATTGTTAGTTGTTCCAGTCTAGCTCCGGGTACACCCGGAGCTACACGATTCTTAACCAAGCCTCCAGTTTACTGGACAAGCTAGAGCTAGGGCATGATGTTAACGGTTTTCCGGACCTTTAACTGTGATTTTAAAACAAGTTTATGACGACCTTATTTTGTTTTCATTTCAAAATTCCAATCAAAATTTGCGTTAAAAGATTTTAGCTAAAAAAAAATTTGTTTCCAAACTTAAAATCCCATGTCCGGATCCCGAAATACCCTAGTTCTTGGTTGTCTTTACTTTGTGTGTTTTCAATGAATCGTTTTAATAAACGGTTTACTGAAAATACATAAAAGAATACGAGAAAAAATGTTGAAATTGCTTCTGTAGAAATTAATATTTTGTTTAACAAAATGTTTATCTGGTACTTTTTTAACCTTTCTCTTGTATTTTTCAGTATTTACCCTCTTCCCTAGATCTCCCTAATTTACAGTCAGAAAACTATATATTTTATATAAAACGTGATAAAAACAAAAACAAAAAGTTCTTTCACTATTTACTAATTAATACTTTCAGTTGTATATATATACTCTTCCTCTACAAGAACAAGGTTTGAAGTGAATTTAACACGAACTTACAAAACCAGCGCTCTAACCCACAGCAGAGACATTAAAAAAAGTGAGAAAGTGAAACATGATGAATACTCTCGCGACTCAAACCAAACCTCATCATTGTCATCTCTACAGTACAACAATCCCCAGTAGACTTGGAGCAGGTTCGAACCTGCTCTTTCTCAGGGATTGATCTTATAGTGATCAAAGACACTTTGGTGATTCATCACTAAGTGCCAGGTGTAAATTGATAAGAATCATTCTCCTCCGAGGGAATGATTCGTTGCTAAGGATGCTCTAGGCTAAACCTTGAACCTCTAACCCAGAACCGTCCCGGCAGGTTGGATCCTTGTGATTTCTAGCTTATAGATATCCGTCCAACATCAGGCCAGGTTTCGGATCCTCTCATTACATACTATTTATGTAGATAGGATCGTGTACCTAGAGTAGGTTGCCTTGCTCCTTAAACTTTCTGAGTTTGGGTTTCTCTGCAACCCTGACTCTGTTTCTCCGACCAGGACGCATCTTGTTGAGTTTTATTGTATCCTCTTATGTATTGTTGCAGCCTAGGTATGATATCAACAGAATGTGCAAATAAATATAAAGTATTTTAAAATTATTCGTTTATTTTCACAGGGCTGTATATTTTTCAGAATTATTTTGATGAATTTTGGGGGTAAAATGAAAAATTTTATATCAAAAGACGAGTTTTTTAATTCTTTTTGGTACTTTTTACTTTAAAAATAATACATTTTTTTTCTCGGAAAAATCATTTATTTTCCCTGAAAACAAACTCGTTAAATTTCCCTGAAAAATTATTTATTTCCCCAATCCCGGATCCGCAACATTTTGGCTTCTTGGATCCGGATCCGCAAAATTATGCGGATCCAGGGGTAAAACCGACCAAAACCTCTTCTAAATTAACTTTTTGCTCTCAAAGCACAAATCTTAACTGTTAACTAATGAGCGATTATTAAAACTTCATAAAAAAAACGAAAAAAGAATGAAAAAATCTAAATTTTTCATCTGACCAGAAGATTTTAAGTAAATGTATTGAGACCTGGACCGGCCGGCCGGATCCGCATCAAGATATGCACCGTCTTACACTATACCATGTTTTGACCTTTAGTTTACGTTGTCTATAATACAGCACAGTGTGCTCTTGAAGGAACTCTAAAAAATAAGAAAATCCCATGCAAGTTTTTTTGAGATTCTGAAAGAGCCCACAAAGAAAAATATTTTGCGATATGTCAGCACTTTTTCCTGGGGCGAATTTTTCCTGCAATTCGCATATTGGCAAATTAATGATTTTTTTCCAGCTATTTACATAGAAACTTTTTTGAACATTTTAAAAAAAATCTGTATTTAAATATAAAATGTACTTCAGAACACTCTGTTTTAGCTGACGATATGATTAGAGCTTTGTTTTTACTCTGTACTCAAGACCTTTCCCCTTATCAATTACTCTGAACCTTTCTATATCCTTTATTTATCTCCTTATTCTTTATCCTGTACCTTTCTATACCCTTTAATCTTAACCTTTCCCCTTATTCTTTACTCTGAACCTTTCTATACCCTTTATTTATCCCCTTATTCTTTGTCCTGCACCTTTCTATAATTTTATACCTTTCGCCTATCCTGAACTTTCACTATCCTTCACTCCTTTAACATCATCCTTTACTCTAAACAGTTTCACAGTTTCTAAACAGTAAAGGTTTGATAAAGGTTTAGTTTTAAGAGAATGGAAAGGACTTGAGTAAAGAATAAAGTGAAAGTTTTGAAGTAAAGGATAAGGGGAAATGCCTAGAGTAAAGGGTATGGAAAGGACGAGAGTAAAGGATAAGGGGATTGGTCTAAAGTAAAGGGTTTTTATAGGACTAGAGAAAAGGATAATAGAAAAAAGTCACTTAAGGGAAAAGGTTTACTGTAAATGAGAAGGAGAAAGATCTAAAAAATAAGGGAAAGGTCAAGAGTAAATGATAAGGTGAAAGGTCTAGAGTAAATAATAGGGGGAAAGGTCTAAAGTAAATGATAAGGAGAAAGGTCTATAGTAAAAAAAAATATGGAGAAAGGTCTAGAGTAAATAATAAGGGGAAAGGTCTAGAGTAAATGAGAAGGAGAAAGGTCTAAAAAATAAGGGGAAAGGTATGAAGTAAATGATGTGGGGAAAGGTCTAAAGTAAATGATAAGGGGAAAGGTCTAAAGTAAATGAAAAGGGGAAAGGTCTAGAGTAAATGATAAGGGGAAAGGTCTAGAGTAAATAATAAGGGGAAAGGTCTAGAATAAATAAAAAGGGGAAAGGTCTAGAGTAAATGATAAGGGGAAAGGTCTAGAGTTAAGGATAAGGGGAAAGGTCTAGAGATAAATGATAGGGGGAAAGCTCTTAGAGTAAAGGATGAGGGGAAATTAGCATCGGGTATAAAAAGGATTAGAATAAAGGATAAGGAAAAGTCTAGAGTAAATGAAATGGAATGAAAGTCTTTCCAATGAATAAAGAATGGAGAAAGGTTTGGAGCAAAGAGTAAAGTTAAGCAGGTCTTCTCTGGGAGGAAATTCGACTGTAAATCTCAAGTACACATTCAATTTCACCGTTAAGGCTTGTGAATCAGTATTAGAGGTCTAAAGTAAAAAAGAAAATATTATAATTATATCCTCCGCTATACCGAACCAATGTAATGAAGAAGATTCAAATATGAGAGATTTGGTTTTTAATTTGAAAGGATTCAGAATTGAGACAGAAGACACAAAAAATCGTCTTCGTTATCGAATAAAATGAAAGATAAAGGGTAATGTTACTTCGGACTGATACAATGAGAGCAGATATGTAGGGCTACTTAGGTTGTATAGTTAAGATAGTTTCTGGGACGAGCATTCTAGAATTCTCTTGGAGATGACACAGCATTTGTTATTGAGAGAACACCCTACACCCTTGTGCCCAAATTGCTCACAGCTTTCTGGAATATTGACAGAACCTTTAAATCCACGTTCCGAATGATAGCCAAGCCCAAATCTGGGGATAGGATAGGTTGGGACAATTTCTGGTCTGAGCGCCCATACTGCTAGGATAGATTTTTTGTATTTGAAGTTTTTCAATTCTAAAGAAAAACATGCTTATATTCATGAGCTCAAAGTTTGAAAATTTTGTTTATTTTTAATATAAAAATATATTGGAGGAGACAATTTTACGCAAACGAAGAAAAGTAACTTTTTCGTCCCGTTTGGCATAAAGTGGTTGGCCCAAAAAAAGTGCAATTTAAAGAGACACTTTTCTCATTTTTAATTGATCTTCATTAAGACAACTTAGGCGAAGCCGACTTTTTAAAATAGTGAAAATAGTCCATTGAAAACATGAAACCTAGCAATTAAGTATTATGTATTGTAGGCGCTAAAAGACATAGTACTTTATAAACACGAAAGTTAGTAGAAAAACAACAAATACAAATACTACGAATTGATAATATGTTCAAAGCATTGAGCTGATGAATTGGTAGGCTGTAGACTCTGTAGACAGGATTCAGACTACTTGAAGAATTAAATGACGACTTTTATATCGTCTTTGTACCAATCGGGACTACTTCGTAAACAAAATTGTTTAGTATCACAATTAAAACATTTAAGACCGACAAGTATTAGTCATGGGATTTCCAAAATTTGGTCTACCATTTTCTTACCTTTAAAATTGACGGAAATATTGTTCAGATCCTAGTTTAGTAAACACCTCGATGTCAAAAGAACTATTTGGAGAGACCTTGGACTAGAAACAATAAGCAAGAGTCGGGCAACATTATTCAGTTTGCACAGACCATTTCACTTTGAAATGTGTTTTTTAAAACTTATTTTTTATTTAATATTTATTTTTTAAAATTTGTTTTAACAAGTGTCTTAAAAATTTAGATGAAAATTTTTGACATTTCTGTCTTTTAGATCTCCATTTTCTTCTTGTTCGTGCATCATCCATCCTGTTCGGCAAAAAATGAAAAGATAAGTAAACATTTATAAAACTTCTATTGAACATATTTGATTTTCAACAACATCCATTACAATAAATTTAATGTCGTCTTCATATTCCACAGACTTCTGGTGCTCACTGCATTTTTGGGAAAAAAATCTTATCTTCAGGCACAGTTAACATAAACCGTTTATTTGAGCTTTGTTTCGACCATCGTAGGCCTTCAAATTGTATTCATACTGATACATTAATGAAATAAAACAAAAATTATACGCCATTGAGTTTTTCCTTTGTAAAAAGTAGATTTAGAATCAATGTTGTTGATTTTATTGATGAAAAGAATTTATTTTGCATGTTTGAATGAGTATCATGCTATTCAGCATTTATTTGCAAAAAAACACACATTATTTTACAATTTTTTTAATTATTTATTAAAAAAGCCGTAAATGGAGAAGAGTTGTTAAACTTTTCCTGTTTTGACAAATTGTTCCACCATTAGTCCCTTCATTACTGTTCCTTTTTATTAATCTTGCAAGACTACATTTGTTGCATAAAATGTGCTGGGTCGACTCTGCCTGGTCAGTACGACTACAGGCATATACAGTACTTGTTTATCAGCACGGATCATGCAACTTTTAGACTGGGGTGCTCTTCGTGGAGTCCTATTTGAAAAAAAACATACAATCTTTTTAGCTTGAATTCAGCTGCTGGGTGAGCTGGGTACGTTGAAAACTGTAAACAATGACAGTAAAGCAAGGCGTGCTGGGCCGAAAGACAAGTTTTCCCTTATATCTTTCTCTTTCTATGTTCTTGTAGTCAATAAATCTTTTTCTTGTGAATGTTGAAAACCAAATATTGGACTGTGAATACATTAATATGATATATTCTCATGTATATTGTAATTGAATATGATTGAACAGTGAATGGTCGAATAAAAAGAAAGATGGAGAAGAAAATGGGGGATGGGGGGGGGATGAGAAGAATAAGGAAGAAAATTAAAAGGAGGAGAAAAGAAAAGGAAAGAGGAGGAGAATGAAAGAAGTGAGTGACATAAAGGAATTAAGAAAGAAGAGAAGGGATGAGTAGGAGAAGAATTAAAAGGAAGGAAAGGACTAGAAGGTAAATAATTTTACAGAAGAGGGAAAGGAGTAAGGAGGGGGGAAGAAGTGAGGAGAGGGAGGGAAAGAAGAAAGGAGAGGAGAGAGTAGGAATGAGTCGGAGAAGGAGAGGAAGAAGGGGGAAAGGAGGAGAAGGGAACTAACTTTGAAAGGAGGGAAAGGAGAGGATAGAATATGAAGGAAAAGAAGAGAAAGGTAGGATGGAAGAACCACAGTAACAGTACGAAAATATTAAGATCTTCAATAATAATCGATTCCTAAAATCATTTAAAATAAAAAAAATTGTATATCTAAGTATCTTAGTAGTATATACTTTATGAAAATAGTGAGGTTAGATGGTCAAGGTGTAAGCTTATAGAAAGTTTACAAACACAGAATATCTTTAAAAGAAAAGTTGTTTCTTGTTAAAGTTTCTCCATTAATTTTAGGCTTTTTTCCAACACCCATTAGCCTGATAATGGTGCCATTAATACAGCGTAACTGCTAAACAGTTCATATTCTCAACACTTAACAGTTAGATCAGTGCTTGTAATAAGAAGGGAAGAGAAA